TTTTTTTTCTGTGGCCATTATGCCTTACCTCAATCATTTTCTCTCGATTTCTCAACGGATTCATCGGTGGTTCAGTGAGCAAAATCTTTGTGTTTGTCGGATCGATGTTCATTTTCTTTGGGCCAAATGTGTAATCCCAAACATTGCACATATCCTCCCAGTTTCGCACGATGCCATTCTCCATTGGGTATGAGCACTCGAGCATGGCTCGCAATTTGGATGCTTCATCACCAACCATCAAATCCTAAATTGGCGGCAAAGAAAATGAAAAATAAAGTGAAATTTCCAGTAGCACAAAGCTTTTGCTATTAATCACAAGCGAGACTAAATGGAAAAACAGTGAAAATGGCTTCCATTCGTAGGGAAGAACAAAACAAAAATGGAAAACTCTAAAAACTGGCAAAGATAAAACAACCATTGCAGAAGATGGTTACAGTTGTTTATGAAGAGAGAACACAAATTGAAAAAATAATGAGAAAAAACGGAAATATTTTGATGTTCAAACAAAAAATGTGGAAAAGATTACACACACCAGAAAAAAAATGGGAACACAAAAAATAGCCAATATCACAAGCATCTCAGAAAATGTGTGTGTGTATGAAAAGTGTTTGAAATAAAAAATGTTGTATAGATCAGTTGGAAATCAAAACATAGTATGGTTTCTGCTTATTTGAACAACGTAATGAGCAAATTGAAGAAAATACGAATTAAAAACACAAAATCGTGCACAAAAACACTAGAGAATCAAATGCGGGAAATCAATATTTGAAATCGAAAAATAAAAACATATAGCAAATGAGAAGATTGCTGTACAATTTTACCAATTTTACTGTGCGAACAACGACACACAAGAAGAATTATAAGAAAAAAACACGCCAAATTTTCTTCTGCAAATTAGCCAACAAACAAAAAACAATTCAAACAATCAGAACGAAAACGAAACAAAAATGGTTAAACCGGCCAGATACGAATAAACGGTTAAGCTAGGGTATATTAATGCCAAAACACAAACAAAAACCAATTCAAACTAAAAAAAAATTAATAAATCAAACAAAACAAAACATTTATTCGTCGCTCAGTTGGTTTCTGTGAAATTTTGATGTGTTTGATGCGATCCGAATGACGGTATTGTGTACTAATTGTGTTTATAATGTTCAGTGTCTGATTGCGATTTTTCGGTGCGTCTCATTGAAAACATTCAGATATTTGGATTTGTGGCAATTTTGATGATGACGCAAGGAAAGGGATAAAAACTTACATCGACATGTAAATTCTGTAAAATAAATTGGGAATTTTAGTTTGTTGCATCGTTTTTGTTCTTTTCTTTTGTTCTAAATAAAATTCTTCAGTTTTGACTGATTAAAAAAAAAACTTGAAAATGTATAAAATGCAAAGTGGATGACACAAACCTCGACTTCGATGTCACCGATTTTGTTGACAGCTCGTAGAATGGGCCGGCCAACCATCGATGGGAATATGTGCGCTGGAAAATTACTGCCCGCATAACCGCATTTCACGAACTGCAGAAGAAAAACACAAATTCATTTTGAAGAAACAGAGAGAAAAAAACTCGCTTAAATTTATCGCTTCATTGCCAACGTTTGATGACTGAGCATTTGCGGATATGAATCACTCGGTTGCGGTCACTATCGCTGCTACTGTGTATTATTGCAAGTTGTTTGGCGTTTACAGGTGCATTGCCCTAAATTAATGTCTCGATTTTGGATTGCTGTAACACAGAAACACCAAAAGCTCAATCGACACATCCAAACTAAAAATATCACAACATTTTCTCGGTGACATATCGACGACATTCATGCTTATCACGATTTGTTTGTGGATATCATACACCGCAACGGCCCATCCCAAACATAACATTTTCAACAAATGCATCCATTTTTTTCTATCTTAGCAAGAGAAAAAATGGTTTCAATACGTACACCAGTGCCATTATCACAAACGATTACATTTCTCCCTTTACTATCCATGATATTTGATGCACCAACTATGTCACCGTCACTGGAGAAAAATGCAACAGAAAAAAATGTATCGCGACCGACTTAAAAATTAAAACCGAAAATAAATCTTATTTATTCGATCTGGTGGTTCCAGTCGCCTTTGATTCAGCTTATTTGTCACCGCTTCACAGAAAGTTTACACTCACACAAACAACACACACATATATACGCACACACATACACAACGTTGTGCTGTCTCGCACAAACGAAGCGAATGTTTATTACGGACAGAGTGAGAAAACCGAAACATCGACGAGACGAGTATTGTCAAAAACACAGCGGGTGAGATAAAACATACACATTTCGCATCTTCGTATTGGTCGCTGCTTCAATGATTTGGCATTCTGACAGTTCGTTCACTTCATCGTTTCGCTCGTTTCATACAATCAAGAGAACATAGACGTCAGTTGTTTGTCTTTGGCAACACTTGCTGTTTTGTTTCAAGTGGAAAATAAAATTGTATTTTATTGCCCACAGCAAGCGAGCGAATAAAATTTCAGAAAGATTTTATAAGCAAATAAATTATTCGTTTCATTCATAGATTGTCCTAATATCCGGATTCAGCGATGCGCTAGATGAGTGTTGATCACTCACAATACATTCAAAGAACGGGCGATCATTAGAGTGCACACATTTGAAATGGATAGATCATTTGAAGTGTTCTAATTTGGTGCATAAAACATTCATTGAATGTGATGATCTTAGTGTGTTGCTTGACATTGATCAAATAAAACTATTTTTTTAGTGTTGTAAAACCATTTTTGGCATGAATCTGCTCAAGTTTTTTGGATTTTGTAATTGAATAACCCGACCAAGTGTTTGAAAAAAGAGTGTTCATTTTGAATTTCTATCGCATTATTTTGATATAATTGTCAAAATACATGCTAGCAATAGCAATATGAAACGAATGAGGTGTAGAATTGTTTACGTTGTGAGCATATTTTTGGATTGACACGAGAGTCGTCTACAGAGAAATTTCGTGTAAAATCTCATTTGCATAGCCGAGATTAAATCACAATGAAGCAATTTATTCGACTGAAACAGTTGAATCGTAATCATTTCTTTTTCATTGGTTTTGTGGTCGGTTTGATATTAACGATATGCTTACCAGACAATGCATGGGAAATAACCGAACAAGAATGTCCGGAGTCATTCAATGGCGATGCACCAAAGGTTCTAGCACAAGAAGATGATTTTGAGCCTCGATTGAATCTCGTTAATAAGCCAATGACGGCGAAAAAAGCGGCCAAAAATATCATTCGACCCAGATACTATTCATCTGAGCTTGGAATACGTGAAAAATTATTCGTTGGCATTCTAACCAATCAGCATCACATTAATTCCTTGGCCACTGCCTTTAATCGCACCACCGCACATCATGTCGACAAAATCAAGTATTTTATCAATGCCGCCGACAATGTGAGAACCAATTTGAAATTGAAGAACATCGTCGGTTTTACGGATGCACGCAATCATTTAAAACCGTTTCACATATTGAAATATATTGCCGACAATTATTTGGACGATTATGATTTCTTCCTTTTGGCCACCGACACAACCTACGTCAATGCACGTCGACTGTTGAAACAATTGAATCACATTAGCATCAGTTTTGATGTGTACATTGGACATAAGCGTGATGCCAGCGATATTGTAGACAGTGATGAGCACAGCCGAATGATGGAAACCGAACGAGACTATTGCGATTTAAATGCTGGCATCATTCTGAGCAGCAGTCTCATTCGTAAGATTCGTGCCAATTTGGATTGGTGCGTTCGTAATGCGGCCACAAATTCGGATAGTTTGAACATTGGCAGATGTGTCAAATACTCAAGTAAAATTACTGGATGCCAACAGAGTTTTCAGGTACGCAAACGATGGTTTGAATCTTATCATTAGATAAAACTTAAGCCGGTTTCAAACAAATGTTGAATTTCGTCAAAACACGGAGTTGCAAAAAATGTCTGCTATTTTCGGCAGTAGTATTCAAAGCGCAACATAAGGCCTATATAAAAAAAAAGGCAGAACAATTTTGCATGTGCAATCTAAAGCATAAGACTTCGTCTTCAGACGGAGGATATTTTGATTGTGAATTCCGGGAAACTTCGGAAACGCCCTTCAATTTCTCTTAATAAAGAATAAGATAATAAGTTTAAACAGCGACACAGATCGTTCAGCGACTCGAAACTACAGTTCAAATGTATTGGTCTGTAAACCAAAACACATGTTCATGCATTTATTCACGCTGACTGTTTATTCAATGATTATACCCTTTTCTTCGGCCGTTTCGTGTTCTTTTCTTCTCTTTTTGTGTCTCTTCACTTCTTTTTCTGCTTCTTGTATTCATATTTACTGTGTGAAACTTGTATAAATTATACCGTTAAATATTAACACATTTCATTGACCTTCATTTCAGGGTGTAAATTTTCCAATATACCGTCTGCATACGTACAAGCTGTACAGAGATTTGCATTTTTTGTACAGCGATCCGTCATTTAACAATGCATCAATGATCCATCCGGTGAAGGCGGCAGAAGATTTCTACGTACTTCATTCGTACTTTTCAAAGGTAATAATCAGCTTGTCTTGAACATTTATTGGTCAAGGTTAACTTAGATAAGCTAAACAATTGCTTATGATAATTGAATTGAGTTTTAAATTTTTTTTAAATTCAAGAGAATTATTCAATTTTTATGTTTTTTTTTTCATTTCTCATCAATGTTTTACATCAAATTTTAACCGAATTTTGCTTCCACAGTTGAACTTGGAATCCATTCACGCGGAAAGTCGACAATTGGATGAGACGGTGAAGCGAATAATGAATGGCAGCATTTCGAATGATATTTTACAAGTACGTTGGCCACTTGGGGTGCCACCAACCAGTATGCCGGAGACAAGACACGATTTACTAACATGGTCTCTCATGAATGAAACGCATCAAATCATGCCAAACTCCGAAGAGAACATAAAATTACATTCAAAAATCGACCAAGAGGATGTGAAAGTAAGATAATCTCTTTTTTCTCAAAAAAAAAAAAATTAATGCGACTCAAAATGAAGTGAACTTATGTTTTATGGAATATTTCATTTTTCCAGCGTGTTTTGACTAGAACATTGATCGAGGCAAAGAAAATTTATCCAAATTTGGTCTACATCCATTTGCACTCACTCTATCGCAAGTTTGATCCAGTACGTGGAATGGACTATCAGCTGCACTTAATGTTCAGTGATAAGAATGATGGAAACGAACACATCGTGATGAAAAGGTACAATATTGACCTTAGACAATTGTTTTAGTGACATAGAATATTAATTTAATTGGATAAGCAATAAAAATTAATTTTTCTTACAGTTTTGAGGCTGTGAAGCCATTGGGTCGCGTTGAAATTGTTCCATCGCCTTATGTGACGGAGAGTACGCGAGTGGCATTATTGCTGCCAACATTTGAGCATCAAACCAAGGAGACTCTCGATTTTATGGCTCACTATGAAAAAACCTGCATGGAACATCAAGACAACACATTTTTGATGCTGGTGAAATTGATATTGATGTACTCACATTGGCAAATATCGACTAATTCTATCTATTTTTTGTTTACTGAAGGTGCTACTATATCAAGCCAATTCACCGAGTAAAGCCGAAAATGATGTATTCGCCGACTTAAAATCAATGGCATTGCAACTGTCCGACAAGTATAAAAGCGATGGCTCTCGTATCGCATGGGTGTCAATTCGATTGCCAGAGCAATTTTCGAACACGTTCGACGGAATTCATTCATCAATTTATAGCTCCATGTATGGCAGTCAAGAGATTCTCAGCATTGTTGTAACCGATTTGGCCCTTCGGAAGATTGGTCTAGACAGTTTGGTGATGCTTTGTTCCAATAGCATGTCATTCAAACCAGACGTTTTGAATAGAGTAAGTAATGATTCACTCCAACGTGCCAAATAATTCATCATGTCATTCATTTGTTTTGTTTTCTTATCTAATTCCATCATCTTTTTAGGTTCGTATGAGTACAATTCAAGGATTTCAAGTGTTCAGCCCAATTGGTTTTGTTAACTACCCGTGCAAATATACCAATTTATGCCGAGAATGTGAATCGTGCGATGTGAGTCAAAGTGCGGGATATTTTGATCGCGAAAATTCCGATGTGATTTCATTTTATAGCAAGGACTATGTCAATGGTAATGAAGCCATTCTATACACTTCTATGACAATTTGATTTTATAAAAACGTATAATTTCATGGATAAATGTTCCTTTCACTTTCAGTCCGAAAATCAATGGAATCGCTAGTTCCCATTGTTCGATCTGATAATCACATTGAGAGTATTTTTCATCGTGAGGACCAATCGATTGTGAACGTATTGGATTTATTCATTAAATCCAACTCTGGCATTCATGTGATGCGTGCAATCGAACCGAATCTACGTCTGGGCCGAATAATCAAAAACTATTTGAATGTAACGAATTCGGTTCCACAATGCGAACTATGGGATACGGATCAAAGCTCAAAATGCTTACACATCGCATCGCGGAAACAAATCGGTGATGCTCTGATCAAATACAAAGAGAATAATAAAGTATGAGACTAAATACAGTGATAATATGTATGTGCCTTGTCGTATGCGTAGGAAGTCGTGTTCAAATGCTCACAAAAAGTGCTATAAATGTAAGGAAAAACCCATGGAGAATATTTTTCACTCATAATTGTACTAAATCGTAGAGTCTATGTGCTAAATGGTGTTTTAATATTTTAATTTCACATTGAAAAACTGGTATATTTTGAAAAGACATAGGGATTTTAGGCTATAATAAATTTTAAGTTGTGCATCAGAAATTCCAAAATAATCACATAAAAAGACATTGTATTTAAAGTGTGTACACTTAATAAATTGCCAAAGTAATTCTACTTCGAAATTTTCGCAATTTTTTTCGTTCGTTGGAAATTCGTTTTTATTTCATTTAAAACAGATTTTGAAATATATAAAAAACAATATACAAATTTTAGATGGTATAAAAATCCATTGCATTCAATCGTTTAAATTTCAGTGTTGCCAATGAAGGTGTATGTCCCAATGGCGTAGATGGCGTGCCAAACGTCATCTGTGCGATGAGTTGAATAGACGTTTGAATGACTTCTCAAATCATTCATTGTCTCTGTTATCTAAATTGATTATTGTTGGTCGCATTACAAAGTGCACAAAAGAGAAATTGCTACAGTCTAAAAAATTCATGCAAATAATCGTCCGCCGATAAACCATCACTGGAAATCAATTGTTATTGAATGCTTGGTAAGTAAATCGGGCATTATCAATTATGTGCATTCATTGATAGCGCAACTAGTGGTTAAACTTTGTCATAATGCTGGTCGAAAAAAAAATTTAAATTCATTAATCATTTGGAGCGTCATAGGCGGACATAGAAATGCTTCATATTAAAATATTTTCAATTTTCATTCTTCTCTTTTCAATTTGCTCAGCAAAAGCCGTGACTACAATGGTTAAGCGACAATTGGTACTGCTCTCAAGTAGTCAAGTGCATGGCTACGAACTAATGCAACAACCAAAACCGATTCTCATTGAATTCTTCAAAAAGTGAGTGCTAATTTGAAGAAATAACTGATAAAATTCCAACAAATTTAATTCTGTTCATGTTGTACAATGACTAAAAAAAAAATCCATAAAACAAATAATCTAATGTAAAAAAAAATCAACTTATTTTGACAGAAACAATGTGACTGAAGTGATTTTCGTGCCATATGCCAAAGTAAACGAAGACTACGATGGTTACACAAAGATGATGGCCAATGCAATTTTGTCGTTTGGTAAGCCAATCGACAACTATTTTCTTTCTCATTCGAATAAGATTTTGATTCATTCATACATTTTACAATTTTGCTTCATCAGAACTTCAAACGTCTGTCAAAGGACTGCATACCTTTCCCGATCCGGTTGAAGCGATTAACCAAGCCCATTGCATTTACATCGGTGGTGGAAATTCATTTGTATTGTTAAAGAAATTGTACGATTTAAATTTGGTCGAAGTGATTCGTAAGCGTGTATTGGAAGACGGTATTGCTTACATGGGATCAAGTGCTGGTTCGAATGTCGCCACTCGTTCTATACAAACAACCAATGATATGCCAATCATTTATCCACCAACGTAAGAGTAAACCACAACAGTAAAAGAGTATTCGATTTTTCTTCAAAGAAAAAATGATCTGTTTTTAGATTTGATGCCTTAAACTTGGTGCCGTTCAATATAAATCCACATTATTTTGATGCTGACGAAAGTAGTACGCACAAGGGTGAGACGCGTGAAGATCGCATCAAGGAATTCCATTTACTAAATGATGTACCAGTGTTGGGTTTGCGCGAAGGCACGCTTCTTGTGGTTGATGACAATAGAGCCACTCTCAAGGGCATTGTCAATGCACGACTTTTCACTCGGTAAGTGAGCATGAGCGAGAGAGCGAGCAAAACATGTGGGAGCGAGAAAAAGAAAAAGAATAAGCAGATGATTTTTTTTGTTATTTTCAGCGGAGAATCACGAGAGTATGCTCCCGATTCCGATTTGAGCTTCCTCTTGCAACAGTGAACAAGCAACATGTGAGAATGGAAAGTATTCAGTGGAACATCACATAGTGGACACATTATTTTTGTCATGCATGGAATTTTTTTTTTTTTAATTGAATTTTGGTATAATGAAAAGAAAAGAAATAAAACGAAATTTTTTTAAAAGAAAATAAAATTGACTTAGATCAATGTGAGATGTGGCTGTTGGTGCAATTTTGTTGATTTACATTTGTACAGTATCGTCTTTCACGAGGCAGCTAACTTTTTTATATCACTATTAGTTGCCAAGGGATTGACCGTATTGTACAAACATTTTATTTAGCCACTGATGCCACACGCACACACTCCAAGAGAGAATAAAGTTCGGTTGATTTTGTTCCTAAAAATAGAATTTTTTTTCTAGAAAATTCGATCATTGGAACAAGAAACCTCAACACTTTGCTGACTGCAACGAATTTCAATTGAAACACGAGAAGAAATTACTGCTCAGTTCTGCGACTGAATGATTTTTTTTTAAAGAAAGCTAAAACGATATTCGACTCGAACGAAGGACGTAGTACCAATGAATTTATCTTGAAACGAGTGGGCAATTTATAGTCATGGACCACATAATTCTGCCGGAAATGTCACATCGGGTGGTGTTGTGCGTGAGCAGCTTACTCTGATATCCATTTCTTCGATTTTTCTTATCGCCTTCAAAGTAGAACGAACAACTTGTTGATGAAAAAAAGAAAATTATATGCTATACATTGTCGAAATTTAACCATTTTACTACATACCACTTAAATTATACGTCATTCATTTTTCAGATAATAATATCTGACCTAAAATTCCTTGGAATTAAATTTAATTTGAATTTTGAATTGATTATCATCAAGTCCATTCAACATTCAAAAATCTATTAGAGAATAATCGGAACGTAATCTGGGCAAATCGCATATATGAATCATGAATGTTTGCTCAACATCAAAAAAAATGTCACATTCCATAGTTCTTATTCAGTTTTATTAAAAAAAATATTATTCATTCGATTATTATCGTTGGTTCTTCAAGTGAAATGAGCCAAATATGGAAGAAAAATGTTATTTTTCGAGATGTGATAAAAAAAAAAACAGCATGATAACAGGCCGTGTGATTCACACATTCGGGAGTTTTATCGTTTTATGAGCCACTTGGATTTTTTCAATTTTTTTTTTCTTAAAACATCACAAATCTTATCAAGTTCGAGAAATGTGTTGGCAGCTAGTATTTGTCACGCAGAGAGGTCAACTTGTTTTGTTGTAGCATACAGTTTTTCGTATTTTATCAAGCATTTGCAAGTATCTGAAGTCTCAAACGTATTATGTTTTTGAATGTATAATGAGCAATTCGTGTTGAGACATTTTTCTTTAGAGAAAAACACTCTTTTCTATCTAAAGATTGAAACAAGCAAACAAACAAATAAAATGTACAAATGGAAGGATTGAATGTAAAACTGATTAGCCGCACCGGAAACGAAATAATGGGCATGGATACAAGATAAAACACAATCGTCACATATGCAGTATGTTATGATGGTTTCATACCATAAATATTTTGTTCAAGGCATCATTTATATTTCGCTTACAGATAAATCGTAACTATGCAAAATAGGCAACAGACAATATTAGCAGCTGCAATAGTTCAGCTGATAAGCAAAAAAAGAACAGTCTGAAATTCCTTTGACAATTCAACTGTCGATGTCAATTCGAAATCCGCGCTTCAATCACATGCGATGTTACCTCAATCAATGTCAAATCTATAGTATCGACAGAAATGTCATCGCATGAAAACAGATAATGAATTGTGAAATTAAATTTTGTTTTAGAAGGAACTGAGTCAAAGCTACGTGTAGTTCATAGTTTGTCCTTTGTTTGATCAAACTTTGATCCCGTCGTCTAGATTAGTTTTTATTCAATCATTGTAAACGCATTTAAAATCCAAAGAAATAATAAAAATGCCAGTCGATGTGGAAGAGTTTCTGCGCGGTCTCGCGATTTTGGCGGATAACCAAAATATGCGCGTTACATTGAAACAAAGTGGAAAAGGTGCTGCTATTTGTGGTGCAATATGTTTTGTAGGTGGTTTGGTTGCTGGGCCATTAGGTATAGATCGTTTCTTATCGTTAGATAATGAATATAATTAATTAAATAAATAATTATATTAATAAACAAATGCAGGATTAGCCGTAGGTGGAACTATAGGTGGTGTTACAGCCTATAAATGCCTTTCAAGTAAGTTGTTCATTGTTGTTCAAATCATTCTACCAAAGGGGATATTGTGTGTTTTTCAATGCCTAATAAATAATTCACGTTTGTTCATGTAGATTTCCGAACCGTTGGTGATATCATACGCAACGATTTGACACAAGAAGAAAAGTGGAGACTACATGAGCATGTGGTCAACTCAGTGCGACATCTTCATCCCACCGATGTGGCTATGCTAATGCCATTGATAATGAATACACCGTCGTTGCAAGAAGCCGTCCTAAAAACAATTGTTTCGTTCGTTACAAATGAAATGCGGTACACAATTGCCAACAACTGAACCGTGTGTAGTTTTGACCTTTGGTCACAGCTCACGCTACATCTTTGTTATGTGCAGTGCATATCATCGTAATTTAATCTGATCGAATTGTGTCTTTTGAATTGATAGAATTAGTTGCGAATAAGTTCATTACAATTAGTAGTCATGACTGAAATCGAATGATTTATTTTGCTATTTGTCTTAGTTATAATGCAAAATGGTGCAAGACTTGTCCGGTAGTTTATATATGCTTGTGAATAAATTTAAAATTATGAATATTCGATTAATTGATCAAGCCGAAAATAAAAATGAATCTAAGCACAAATAGAATTGATAGGAAAAATTTATTTCCAATTTTTTAGAGCCAAACCATCACAAAATAAAACCTTTGCCACAAAGAATGGAAATTTTGATAAAGAAATCATTAAGAAATATTGCGTTGTTTCATTCCGTTTGTTCTGTTTTTCTTTATGTTTGTTTGTGTTCTTGTTGAATTTTCAACCTTCAAAGTTGAAACTGCGCTGATTTTGCGGTAATAGCTATAATTCTCTTTTCATATCTTCAATTTATTCCCATATTGTATTTGCCATACAATAAAAGTGAACATGAATGATTGCGTATTGTCATGCCATGTTAAAAGTGTCTTTTTGTATTTGGGCGATAATTTTCACTCATTTCTAATAATAAAATATAGATTACATCTGGCGGTGTAATCACTGTCTGGTCGTGCGCTTTCTTTAGATACGTTTATTCGAGATTTTCGAGTATCGAATTGTTAATCTCGTATCACTCGAACAATAAATAATTTAAAATTCTTTTTTTTTTGTCTTTGAGTGATATCACAACTTGAATTGATATTTTATCGATTAATCAGTTTCCAATTAATGACCAGTGTTGTTGTCAAAGTGTTTGTTTATTATGAAAAAAAAAAAAAAAATAATAATCAGAAACATGTGGCAACACATTTTTTTTAAATTTTTTTCTGTCGTTTGAACTATATACTTCAAATGTTGTCTCTTAAGTCACTTCATACATATACAAATGCCACAAGACAAAACACGCATATCAATTCCATTTCGTTTTGTGGGAAATTCAATTCACTGATCAAAACAAGTTGACTTTAATACTGAACTCTTCTCTCTGCATACAGTGCTTTATGCTACGAACAAAAGCATTGAAATGTTGTCTCAAAAACATGATGCAGAAAAAAGAGACTACCATAATTAATCATAACATTCAATTAGTCATAACATCATGTGTTGTTTACTTTTAGTGTGAGGGTGAGCTGGGCGTTTTATCTTTACTACCTTGTTTTTATTAAGAATCACATGTTGAAATCGTGTTTTTTCAGTGAAATAAGTCAAATAACGAAGAAAAGAAAAACGTTATATTTTGAGATGTTTCATTCGGAAGTTTTTTTATTAGTTTATGAACCACTTCAATTGTTTTTCTATCGATATCGTTATCATAACACTTTTTTATCTTTTATTTTTTTCATTCGTTTAAACTCGACTCAAAGCTATTGTTGTTTACAATTGTCTACAAATAAGGAAAATTCGATCAACTCATCGTAATTCGACGAATCAACAAAAAAATACGTCTAAATTACTTGTTAAAATATATGTTCAGTTCTGTTACAAAGAAAATATTCAGAGCCATCGGAATTTTTTTTGATTTGATTCAACTGAACTCAATGAAATATCATTAGATATCATCAAACAGGACACGTTTGTGCTTATGATTTTATCGGTGTTAGCTTTAGATAAACGCCGCCAACTGGTGACAAAATGAATTGTGACGTCTCAAAGATGAGTGGAACTGGTGTTTTGGAGCCGAGTGCAAACTCGAAATTGTTCAATAGAGTGACTAGACCGATACGAGCTTGCATCATGCCGAATCGAAGGCCAATACAGTTTCGTGGCCCGTCACCAAATGGGAGCCATGCCATTGCGTCACGTTTCTTTGCCTCTTCGGCATCGAAACGGTCTGGGTTGAATTGTTCTGGGCTCGGATAGATTTCCGGGTCATGTTGAATAGCGTAGGCTGGAATAATAATAGACAATCCTTTTTCGAGCACAATTTTACTGCCAGGAACCCGGTAATCATTTTTCGTCCGTCTGTTTAAGTTTGCAACTGGTGGATACTTTCGCAACGTTTCTATAAAAATGGAGAACCAATAAAATGTTATTTTGGAATTGTATAAAAAATTATGATAAAATTGATGGGAAAAAAGGTTAACTCCAAAAGTAATTTACCTTCCAACACTTGATCAACGTAAGGCATGTCCATCATCGCTTCGTAAGTGAATTGTCCGTTATGTTTTTCCAGTGCTTCCCTGATTACTCGTCTGGTTCTGGTTTGAATCTCTGGATTCAAAGCGAGCTCATACAGGCAAAACGTTAGTGTAGTTGAACTAGTTTCAAAGCCAGCCAAAAAGAAGACAAACGCTTGTGCGGCCACTTCATTTAATGTAATCACTTTATCTTTATCGGTCGTCTCTTGATTCTTCAATTTGATCAGAAGATCCATGAAATCATTCCGATTCACATCGTTTTTCTCTCGATATTCAACTGTATCGCGAACGACTTTCATGAAAAATTCCGACACATCATGTCGTACGATCTTAACATGAAGCTTCTTGGCCAGGCTTCTAAATCCATTGATAAGTTCAAGAAAATGGGTACTATGTCTTGGTTTTGCAAACGATTCACGACCGTATTTTCTAAATTCAGCGTTTGGATCTTTCAAGCTATTACACTCGATGCCAAAAGCACACGTTCCAATAACATCAGTGGTGAACCGTGCCAGTAGTTCCTTGATTTCCAGCTCATTGTTTCCCTTGACGACGTCGAATAGGCAATTTCGGAAACGGTCTCCTACTTCGACCACCGTAGGAAACATGAATTTCATTTTTCCACTGGTAAAGGTAGGAGTCAGCTTGGCACGCAGTTTTTTCCACTTATCACCGTCCAATGAAAACAAATGCGCACTCAATGGATCGTCTTCTTCGTTGTAATATAAACCTCTTTCGTTGAAATTCGCAAAATCTTTGATCATAACATGTTTCACAATATCCAGATCCAACAAAACTGCGACTGGACGAGCAAAAAAGTAAAGCCCACACACTTTTTCACCGGTTGGTTTGTATTTGTCGTAGACATTCTTTATAAAATGTGACGGATGGATAGTTTTGCCGAAGCCTTTAAAAGTTCCGTAGGGAATCGTCGGTTCATCACACGGAATATTTCTCGATTTCCAATAATTAAACGCATTTTTGAAATAAACATACACAAGTGTTAAAATTGAGATTAAAACTAGACAAAACGCGCCTATCAATTCCATTTCTGGAATTCAATTCACAGATAATAATTTACGTTTGAAATAATATCGCTGATAATTTTGTCTACGATACTGAGTAAATTGGAATGATTGAAACAAGTTGACTTCAGATACTGGACTCATGTCACTGGCATACAGTGTTCTTATACTACGAACGAGAGCATCGAAATGTTGTCTCTTAAGCATGACGCAGCGAAAAGAGACTACAGTAACATCACACAATGTGGCAAATTAGTCATAATAACGTGTGTTATTCACAATATGATGGTCTACTGAGCGTTTTATCTTTACTACACTACTAACACAGCTAATAAACTTGTTTTTGAAAGACTATCGGACTCCAAATTAGTTTCGCACTCAATTTTTCAGTGTATCCAACCATGTTATTCCAATCTTATTTCTTCGATAGGAAGCACATAATGTATACCTAGGTAGAAAAATAGTTTTTTAGACAACAGTAGGTATACTGCTTTTTGCGTGCGTTCTTATGTGTTAATTATTCCATACTCAAGTATTCTATACGGACAAATATATCTGATCGAAAAATGTGCAGAAGAACTTTTTTTCATTGCGTACAGAACGAAGATAAGAACGAGATGCGCAAATTGTTAGACAAATTGAAAAATTGAGCAGTTGCAAATGACTGATGTAATAAATATACACTGTTTGTTTGGAAGTGTCTATCCCACGTGATATTCATTATATATTATATTGTGTTGTATTCACACAGTCCATACGATCCGCTTAATACACAAGTGAACAAACAATAATCTTGTCATTGAATATTTCTCGGTGATTTTTTGAATTGAAATATCCGTTATTCCTAATTTTAATTGTTGAAACATCTATAAGAATTGAAAAAGAGAATAAAATCATGGCATTTGGATTTTTCCCATTAGCTCACGATTGATTTGTATGTAATTTAAGTATTTTGCGGAATTTAGTATTTCATAATAAAAATCATGCTTAGATCAGATGTATGAGTCAATCAAAACAGTCATTTGAAAATGGAAGCCAGCAATGAGAATGATGCTATTAGTGATCAAAGGTCACCTCTCAGCTGTTTTACGACATATTCTGTGTCTCACCATGATTTAGCAAGTTCTATATACCTTCTATTTAGATTTCAATTCACATAAACAGATAATTATAAAACCATTACGTGATAAGTAAACATAAAATAATTCACAATTGTTTCAGCACTATTAAAGGTGCTATGTCATACAATCAATTTATTTCATACAATACGGTGCTTTATCATTTAAATAAACGTGAACGATTATAACTGATCCATATTTGTGTCGTTTTCCATTAGGTTGATAATTCTAATTAATTTCTGGTGATAGCAATGGAATCTTCATTTATTATATCATCCATGCGGTGAAAACGGTATTTCGAGAGTTTCGAGCTATGAATCTAGAAATTCTCAAACAGAATTCAATTCAAAACTCTTCTCTTGCCCCAGATGTCCCAATGAGCACAACAGAAGTTGAAGAACATTTTCGCAGTTTAATTGTTCAATTTCGCATGTTTCAATTGCGATGGAACGTTTTCTTCGGAGATTTGAAACTGGACGACTATAGCTACATAGGTCGTTATCGAAACGATCGTCTGAAACAACAAAAAGGAAATCCAAAGCATATGGCAAAACGGTTATAGCAAACGTCAAAGGAAATAAGTGTTTGTTGCACGTGTGCTTCGTTGTCAAACAGCTTGAATCAGAATAAATTCTTACGGATTTCAAAAGTGCAAAGTTAAATGTGAACATTTGTTTCAGTTTTATCTCAATCGGTTGTTTTCGGATTTGGAGTGAAAAGATGCGGATAAATCTCTGATAGTTTCGATCATGGTAATTTGAAGGAGTATGCAATGCTTTCGAGATGCCCTTACCCTGTCATAGATACAAAAAGAAAAGAACAATGATTTTAACTATCTTGAATGTGACTCCTTTCACTCGAGTGAACTCACTATATTTTGGCATCTTTCGCAGATCATGCAAATATACCAGAAATTGATGATAATCGAAGAGATGTACGAACCAATTTCTAAAATAATTTACCGAAATGAAAATATTCAAAATTTAATTTAAATTAAAATAAAATCCAAGCCATCGAAAAGAAATGTCTTACGAATAATCAAATTGGGTGATTCATATATTTTGATATTCATGTATGCCCAATACGAAGAATTTATAAGATCAAAGGAGAATTCCATGAGAAGTGCGATAAATGACCATCCAAAGGCGTTGCTGATTAAATTTTGTAATAGCCAAACATTGGAATAAATGTCTCTCAAATAGCGGATATTTTCACCGGAACCAGCAATCGATTCGGTGGAATTTGGACGGTAGTTTTTCTGTTGTTGCTTCAATAGGATTTGTAAATCAGCCAATATGTTGGTCAATGTATTTATAAGAAGTGCCATTTGGCATCTGCGCGCACGAATGATAGCAGCGGCCAAAGCTCTATTCACAAGAAACACAATTCGATCAAATTCATTCGTCGGGAGCGAACAAAATGAATATGCAATTGCTGAGCTTGCGGAGCAAATATAAAATAGCGTAGTGTAAATAATTGTATTTCGTATGACTTTAAAATCAGCGACATAGTTCAATTTGGTTGCAAAAATTTCGTTGATCTCGTTGAGTTTCCGGTAAATTTGTTCTTCATCTTTATGGGCGAAAAGAGGTTCCAAATGTGCGACAATGTGGGTCACCAAGGTTCCCGAAACGCTTGCCAAATTCACATAAAACATCAACGGACTGGATTTGTATGTGCCGCTTGGTTTCAATCGAATGTACAACCCATGGAATAGCGAGTAAAACATGAGCGCAATATGCAGTGTGCTGAAAACGACGTAGTATATTATGCGGCCAATATGATTGGTTGCATGGAATGTGGAATAGTGAGCGACACAAAACACTTGAAAAACACGAACAAACGGCTGCCACAATGATTGGAGCGCTCGAGGATTATAGGGTCTTTGCGATGGATACATTTTAACTCGAAGCTCAATCAACAAATGAAATAGCTTTTGCAATAATCTTCTCTTGTATTCAGTGATGCACATTTCAAATCAATTAAGGTTAGTTGATCACCGATTCATGCCAGTTGATAACTTGCGATGTATTGCCTTGGGTTTTCATCAAATTAGGTAAAATTATTCTAGAAGGTTTAGAAGGAAAAATATTGTCAACATTTTCAAGTAATTTTTCCCAGTTGAATCTAATTTCGATAATTTCAATATGTCTGAAAAAAATGGTCTCCAACTCACATTCTGTGATAATTAGTATATACGCCATTTAGAGTGTGCATTAGGAAAAACAGCGAAAACAGCTATTTGAAGATGAGATCAGGCGCGCATTCTTGGATTCAAATAAGCATTTTCATCGGCAATTTGAAACTGGATGACGATGGCCACATATGTCGTTATCAGAACAATAGTCTGAAAGAGAATTTCAATTATCTCGTGAAATTTATAACTTTTGGAACTAATTGAATGAAATTTAAAAGATGAACATTGGAATGAATTTCGATTCAACAAACCGATTTAAGGAGCTCGTTGTTAAAACAGAACATTTGCTTCATATTTATTCTGATGGGCTGCTCTTTAATTTGCAGCGAAAATATGCGAATGAATCGTTGGTAATTGGGATCGTTATAATTTGATGGCGTATGTAATGACTTTGTCACGGCTTTTCCCTGTGATGAAAAAGAACACAATATTTTAATTGAATTAATTGTAAATTCGACCTAGTTTTTGGATGACTCACCATGTTTTGGCATCTTTCTGCAGAGGCACAAAAAAACCAAAATATGATTGAAACGGAACTGTTGTATAGAAAAATGTCTGAAAAATATGAAGAAGCTCATCAGAGACCGAATAATTCAGTTCAATTCCGTTGAATTCGAACAAAATTTAATTTTCTCTCATTCTTTTCAGTCGAAATTGTAAAATTCCCAGAAAAAATAGCAACACCTACGAATATTCAAAGCGATTGATCCATAAACGGTCAGGTTGATATAGAGCCTTCGAAGCCGAAATGATGATTAAAGCAAAAATGCATTAAAAAAAACTTCAAATAAAACAAATAATTAAAAATATTATTTCAATTAATACCAGTAAGATGCATTGATGGTCTCGAATGTGAACTCAACGAGAAAAAATATGAATGACCATCCAAAACAATCGCTGACTAGTGTGATTGTATACCAAATGTACGAGTAAATCTCACGAAAGTATCGTATATTTTCGCGTGCATATTTTCTGTGCGGCTGTGCACTTGAATCGTCACAACTGTGAATTTGTTGTTGTTTAAGCAATGTTTGAAGGTCGTTCAAAATGTCGCCAATGTTCATCAGGAACAAAGCAATGTAGCACCATCGAAGTCGATTAATGATCATGGGGAAGATAAGAATCGGTTGCATGAAATATTTATCTTGATACAAATCGGGCAAATTAGTGAATGCACTGGCAATCGATGTAATCGTGACCAGTGCAAATGTTAAAATCGTTTTCTTAATCAAATTGATGCGCCGCGTTTTATAATCGATCATATGATTGAGTTTTGTTGCAAAAATGTTGTCGATAATTTGTAATTTTTCATAAATTTCTTCTTCGCGTTTTCGGCTGAACAAGGCTTCCAAATGGGCAGTGATATGCGTCGCAAAACCACCAAGTATGCTCAGTGCGTTCACATAATACATCAAAGCACTTTCTTTATGCTTGGCCCAACGCTGGTCCATCTCTGGTATTGTATTTTCACATTGCAATGCTTTTCTTGTCGTTAAAATAATCAAACTCAAATGAACGGAGAAAATTAGCAGAAAATATAGCCAAAACGACAACGATTTTGAACGATTTTGGTGCAAATTTGGACGGAAAATCGTAAAATGAGACACACAAAATGCTTGGGCAACGCGTGTAAATGGCTTCCAAAACGCTTCGAATTCCCGTGAAATTTCAATACCCGTTGATTGACTCATCTTTCTTTCAACACTGTCGTTAGAAAACTGCATAAATTCATTCGTTCGTTCATAGTTTTCAAGTCGCAAGATATCATCGTTTCCATCGATTTGTTATTTCAAAGAAAAGCCAAAGCTCCATAATGGAGCCTCCATTATAATGAACTAGTTCAGCCTTATCGCGTATTTCAGAGCAAAATATATCAAATTATTCTGGAAATCCCATTAGATTAATGATTTACTGGCACCAACTCACCGTTGTTACTTCTGATCCAACAATCATAAAATGAATGTGCTGTGTGCCTGTGCATGCAGAACTTTGGAGATGTGCCTCTGATAAAAACAATAACTCATTATTTTTGTTGTTGAGAAAAATGTTGGTAATTGCTTATTATGTTCTGGATGAAGAGCTGCCATCAGCTATTTGGAACTGGATGATTATAGCGACATATGTCGTTATCAAAACGATTGTCTGCAATGAAATTCGTTACAACCAAAAATAAAATCTATTAAAATACCGAAAAGAATCTATCAAAGGAAATGAAAAGTCAAAAAAATTGCAGCCGCTGTCTTACCGATTTCAATAAAGCATAATTGAAAGTAAACATCTGCTTCATGTTAATTCTGATGGGTTGCTCTTTAATTTGAAGTGAAAAAATGCGAATAAAACGTTGATAATTTTGATCATGGTAGTTGGATGGTGTGTGCAAGGCTTTTGTTACTGCTTTCCCCTGGTTAATAAAAGTTTATCAATCAAATGTTGATCATTCAAGTAATCATTTATATTGAATTTTCGTTCGAAGACGAGAAATATCGAATAATATTCCTTGAATGTATCAAAAATGAACATATCTTGGACGAATTGCTACTATGCACCTACCAAATTTTGGCATTTCTCCGAAAGCATACAGAAGTAACCAAATGAAATCCATAAAGATGCATTATACAAGACGATATCTGAAATAATAAATCAATGTGATGTCAATTTTTTCTTAATAAACTCATCTAAGAAATGGCAAAAGTTCAAACGAATCGAAACTAACGAATATTTAAATTGGTAAGTCCATAAAAGTTGACATTGATGTAGAGCCAATACGATGCGCTAATGACTTCAAATGTAAATTCAACAAGAAACGAAATGAGTGACCAGCCAAAGCAACTACTCATCAATGTTGTGATGAGCCAAATATTTGAGTAAATCTCACGAAAAGAGCGTATTTTTTCGCGTTCTAACTTATGTTCGGGATGATCGGACGAATATTGACAACTTCGTATTTGCTGTTGCTTCAACAACAACTGCAGATCATCCAGTGTATCCGCTATTGTATTTAGAAACAAACAGATGTAGCACCATCGAGCTCTTATGATGATCACAGCGAATATCATTTTGGGTTGCAAAAAGTATTTTTCGTAGTTCAATTCCGGCAATGGTGTTAGTGAGCTTGCTGTTGCTAGAAATATGGCAAAAATAAAGATTACCACCGTCTGCTGAATATACTTGGGACGCCTTGCTTTGAAATTGGTCGCATGATTCAGTTTCGTAGCAAAGATATTGCTAATTATGTTGAGCTTTTCGTAAATCTCTTTTTCATGTTTTCCATTCAATAATGTTTCCAAGTGAGTAATCAAATGAATGATAGCCCCACTGATGATACTCAGATAGGTCACGTATAACATCAATTGACTTTTTTTATATTTGACCTTATTGGGTTCGGGCACATTCTGCAACCCTTTGCTTGTGATCAATATCACAATCGAAATATGAATGGCCGAGAAAGCAAAAAAGTAGATCAGATGCAAGAAGAACTGCCTGCGATTGTACTTAAGATCGGGCCGAAAGATGGAATAATGTGAAATGCAAAACGCTTGCATGCAACGAGTGAATGGTTGCCAAAAGGCTTTAAATTCATTTGTCGATGGATTCATTGTTCTTTAGTGACTGAAGAAGAGACTGAAATTCTTTATCCATTACTTCATAATAAATGATGGAAAAAGTCATTATCGTTTAATGCGAACAACAAACATTATATTTTCATTGAACATTTTATGGCAATTTCTATTTAATGATGGACATTCAACGTGAATTGTAAACGAACAAGCATGGACTTATATAGATTAGTGATGATAAAATAGTTTCAACTCACCATTGTGTGCGTGTATCATTAAAATTGGTAGGTAAATGCTAATTTAATGTGCTATATGTATCGATAACTTCTGAAGAGCAGCAGAATAACCTTCAACCGCATGAAATATTTCCACTATTTTGCAAACATAGACGCCGTTTCATCGGCTTTTTGAAACTGGATGATGATGGCGACGTACGTTGTTATCAAAACGATTGTCTGTAAAATTAAACAACAAACGTTACCAAAAAAAAAAAATTCCAAATGGCAACAGAAGTGACTCGGTTTGTTAAATGGTTTCACACTTGAAATGAATCGGCACTCCCTCCTCCTGATTTAAATCAAATCAAAATCTCACCGATTTAAGCAACGCGTAGTTAAACGTAAACAATTGCTTCAAGATTATCCTAATGGGTTGCTCCCTCATTTGTAGCGAAAAAATACGGACGAATCTTTGGTAGAGTTGATCCTGATAGTTGGATGGCATGTGAAGAGCTTTTGTAACGGCTTTTCCCTGGAACAGGAAAAAATCAACATTTTTCAATAGTTGCGTGTATTCGAAACATTGTTTTTTGTCAATTATTTTCTTAAATTAATAAATCTGTACAAACCATGGTTTCACATCGTTCGGAAATCTGGCAGAGATACCAAAACATAATCAAAAGTGAGCTGTTATACGAGATAATGTCTGAAGAAACAGTGAAAGAATCAATTTAAAAAATGATAACCCAAGAGAAACGGCCAATATGTTTATACGCTGTCTATCCGCCAAAAATACACTACAATATATATTCACGCTTATTGGAGGCCGAATTCAATATATATTCTAGTGTATTTTCGGCGTATTCTTCAGCGTGAAACATATTGAAACATATTCAGGCGCCCTCTGATGGCCATGAATGCATTCATTGATTCAATATGTTTCACGCTGAAGAATACGCCGAAAATACACTAGAATATATATTGAATTCGGCGTCCAATAAGCGTGAATATATATTGTAGTGTATTTTCGGTGGATAGACAGCGTATAAACATATTGGCAGTTTCTCTTGGGAAATATTCAAAATTAAACGAACAACAAAGTGACTCTTACGAATGTTCACGGTATGCGATTCATAGAGATGCAAGTTGATGTATAACCAGTACAGCGCATTCATTACTTCAAAAGTGAATTCAACAAGAAAGGTAATGACCGACCATCCAAAAGAGTCACTCAGCAAATTGACTGAAAACCATACGTTTGAATAGATTTCTCGAAAATATCCAATTGTTTCACGTGCACGACAGCAACTCTCTTCACTTGAATCATCGAAATTTCTCTGCTGTTGTTGTTTGAGCAAATGCTGTAGGTCATTCAGAGTGTCAGCTATGACATTCAGCAGCAAAGCAAAATAGCACCATCGTGACCGAATCATGGTAACAACAATTATGTGTATCGGCTTCATGAAATGTATTTCAATGCCATTCTTTAGATTGGGTATTGTGGCCAATGAGCTTGCTGAGGCTAGAATGATAGTCAACACAAACGTTCCGACTGCGTTTCTAATGTACTTTGCACGTCTTGCCTTGTAATCTATCATGAAGTTTAGTTTGGTCGCCAGAATGTCATCGATTGCTCGTAATTTCTCGTAGATTTCTTGCTCTTGTTTCATGCTAAGCAAAACTTCGACATGTGTTGTTATGTGACATAGCATGCTGCCAAGTATGCTCAACGAGTTAACATAAAATATCAAATGACTTTCTTTATGCTTTCTCAGTAGCTGTTCAGTTTCGGTGTCCTCGGAGTGTAATCCCTTGACGGTTGTTAGAATGACCAACAATATATGGAGCGAAGCTAGCGACAAGAAATATATCAAAAATGGCAAAGATCGTCGTAGATTATTGTGAAGATTGGGCCGGAATATGAAGAAACTGGAAACACACAGAGCTTGGAATGTGCGGGTAAATGGTAGCCAGAAGGCCTCAAATTCATTAGAAATGGCACGGTTCTTTGGTCGAGTCATCGTTCTACTTCCGTTGTATTACAAAATGCACTCTTCTAGAAACTAACTAATAGAGTTTGCCTGCACCAACCTTATTAGTGTGGAATAATTCTAGAAATCATCTTCTTATTAATTTTCTTTGCTGGTTAATTGAAATTGTACGTAATTGTACGTTGATAAGAATCACTTTTGTGTTTACCCAAATAGATTGTTTACTTCGAATGAAACATGCACACCAAATAAAGCCGCATACGTCAGTACATACCAATGCATGTGTCGTTGAGTATAAAAATGGGAATACAGGTTCCTTTACAGAAAGAATCTTATGTATTATAGTATTCATGTAGGTATGTTTATTCATTTAGTTTTTGATTCAATTTAGTCTGTTTATTATGAAATATTTCAGCTGAATTTCAGTAGATAGAATTCTCGTTTTCTTTCTTTGATTTACTTCCAGCACTACGGTACATCCTGTCGGATAATTCGAAATGAAGCGAAGCCACGATCATCGCTATCTGTACAAGAGTTGGTTAAGAGTTGTACTTCGTAGCCATAGAAATATGCATCCATTATTAATTCGCGATGGTGTGGAATCAATGTGTAGTGTGTAAGCTCCTCGTTATGGAGTTTTACAACTGTTACAGCATCTGGCTCTTGTCCATCCGTTTGAAGTATTCTCAAATATTGAATAAATCCATAACAATTTTCATATGTTGTCCCATTCGATGCTGTAATATCATAGCAATAATAGAATTAAAATTTGTTTGAAGATTGAGATTAAAAAGATGATGCTTTAGAGTGGATTGTATATATATAGATTTTTAACGATGAATCTCAACAATAGACAATGGAATTTTCAATTTTGGGAAATCGCCGACTTTTGATTCAAATGGAATGATTTCACACAACTCATGAAATATTGATGACAATAATTACCGTATAAGCTGAGTTTCTCATTATGACGGTCGTTTGAATTGAACTGTCGTTGCATTGAGGCTCTTCCGTTGAATGGTTTAGGCTTATTTCCTTTTGCAATTATTGAGAAGCCTTTGAATTCAATATCGGTTTGATTACAAGTTGGACTATCTATTCGGATAAATAATACTTGTCAAGTGGTGTGAGACTTGCGTTGTAGCAATCGTATTGAATTTACCAATTCGGATTGTTGATTGCTGTTTGTATGCTTTGTAAAGGGGCATTCGGAGAAGTGATTCTTCCGTCCGATGTGGTTGGGTAAACGAATTCAGTTGTATTATTGATATATCATGGTGTACTGTTCCTACCTGTGGCCCTGTACTAAACCGTATCATCTCGATACGCCCAACACACCTATCATCACCGTCATCAATGTCAGGTATTTCAGTTGTGGGCACCCCACGATCATTTAAATCACTCTGATCGCGACTATCACCATATAAATTTGCTGCAAACAATTATTCGCGAAACATCAGAAATTAAAATGATAATTAATTGCGATCAAGGCTTCTTCTACTGTCGCTTAATGTGTGCGATTAGTGTTATACAAATATACAAATGATTTTTAACACTTGAAAAAACCCTTTTTGTAATTTGTTCCAGTTTTTTCAATGAAAAAACTATTTTTTAACAGCAAAATGAAACCGTTCAGTTCTAGTTCGTCTAGTAGCTGTAAATGTGCGTTAGTGTATGCTTAGAACGATACAAATCGGTTTAAACTTGAAATGTGTAGTAACATGCTGATTGCGTAGTTCACACTAAAAATACTAGGGCAATTTGACTTATCTGCAAGCAGATATAATTTATACTCAAAAGCAACATTTTGAGCATATAACCTACGCGGTGTATTTATTTTTGCTTTAAATAAAATTGAACAATAATAACAATAGCCCTGTATTTTGTCTAGCAAACTTACTTTTGTCATCGGAATCGATGGGGATGTTGAAAGCCAATGAAATTGATGGATAAATTAATAGTATTGCAAGCCAAATCATACTGTGCGAATGTGTAGATTTGAAAATCAATTCTTAAACGATTTTATGTGTGAACGGCGGATAAAACTGAAAAATTGAGAAAATACAATTTAGATCTTTTTGCAAGATACAGTTACAGTAACTGCTACTTAATCATAAAATTTTTTAGAATTGATTTAACAGAGTCCTTAGGCTAATCTGCTCAGCCAATAGTATTGTTTTATTTGAGAAACAAAACACTCAATCACCACAATATTTAGAATAGAATTTACTTACAGCGAACACTTCAATCAATTCAAGACGCGAAAATTGCTTCAACTAACCCAACTTATATGCATTTTCACCATAAATAATTCGTATTTATATTTAATTTATTTTTCATGGTTTTAATTAAAAATAAATGGAATCTAATTAAGACTTTCATAACCATATACCTGTTTTATACATTTATCAAACGTCGAAAATTGAGACAAAACAAAGGTAATTTTATTTGGAAGCTTAAGCGCCATGTTTGGTTGTTTTTAACTTAAAACACGGTTTCAACTCATATCTTTGTAGCCAAACCATAATATCTGTTCCAAGCTATATTTTGATTCCTGTTCGCATCTATATCAAGGTTAATCGATTTTTTTTTTCAATTACTATTCAAGACGAAATTTAGTTTTGCTTTGTAATATTGAATTTACTTCTCTGGGAAAAGTGAAAACCGTACAAATTGTAATATTTGAAATAGTGTAGTAATCATATTATAAATTGAATGAATACAACGTCGTGAACTAAATGTTCTACGGTCGGTTGATAAAAATTTGCGCTCCAATTTCGCAAGTTGCTTGTAACGTTTCATATATTGTTAGGTACAGTGCGCCCCCGGAAATGTTAAGTAGCAGAAATGTTATCTCTCGGAAAACTTAAGTGAATTTCGGCTCCCATTGACTACTCTGAAATCTTCAGTTTTTCTTAAGATTTCTGTGAGAATACTGTATTTCAAGTAAAATCATTTATTTTTTTCCAATTATTCATTCTTTCGAACAATAACATAACTATATCGAAATGTATAGACAACATAAAATTGTTTTCACAAACATATACAATGTTGAAATTAATCAGCCAACCGATTTTCAGCTATTTCTTTGCCTGAACAAACGATGCGATAACGCTTCAGACGGTTTACAGCGTGAATAAATCACAGTAGCCTTTGTTTTAACGTGTATGCACACGTAAATGACTCCGTTTGCTGTTTTGGTTGACTTTACAGCTGTATTCTCAGTTTGATATTTTAGCGAATTTTTAATCAAAACAAATAATGTGACAACGCTAAATCTAACCGTTCACAGGAATAAATAAAAGATTACCGAAATTTGTGGTGTTTTTCCTTCATTTTTTGATCATGTGAAACTATTTATCAGATTTCTTCTGTTGTTTGTAGCTTGAAAAAGCTTGAATACAGTTTAATTGATAATAAATGTGGGTAAGTGATGTATATTTTCGATGTTTCCTTTGATTTTAGTGCATTATTATCGAAAAAAAAATTCTCTCTGAAATCTTAAGATTTCAGAAAACTTAAGTAACCGAAAAACAAACTACTTAACATTTCCGGGGGCGCACTGTAATTACTAATCAAAACATTTTAACTATTCCCATCGGAATATTGAAATATTTGTTACTTAACAACCGTTATAATTAAATTTTATATATAGCAAACTGCCCGAACAGAATTTTCAAATATCGCAATGACGATCAAGTATGCAATAAATCAAAAACTGTACTTATCACTACGCACCAGAAAATCCGTCACTACCGTTTTTTTTTTAAAAACAAGTTGTGAAATCTGGAGCAAGTTCTTTGTTCTTTTTTTTCAAACGTTCGAAATTGGAGACTAAAGAGAAAAATATGTTCAAATAAAATGTCAGAGATAATGCTTAGCTTAGCAATTACTGAATGAGCTGTGGGTTTATTGCAATGATAACATCAAAATTAAGCCAAACATTACTAGTAATAGTGTGAGAAATAAATTACTTTTGGTGTTAGTTTACTGTTAAAACCATTTTGCAATTTGCATCATCACCGAATAAAATTGATTTTTCTGCATCATAAAGCAAAATTTCTGGTTGAAACGAATGCACCTCCAAATTATTATTGATCATTTCAAGAAATGTACTGATTAGACATATCAATGGATACACTTCTAGATGTATTCTGTTGAAGTGAAACCACAAAATTTTGACCACTCAAATCCAATCTTTCCGAGTCAAATTGGCGATAAAGCTTCGCGAAACACGAAAAAACTGACCCTTCTTCGGACCACCTTAGTATTCATTTAGGTATATTTAATCATTTATTTTGATTTTGATTCAATTTATTCTGTTTATTATGCAATTTTACGGCTGAATTTTCGTCTTCTTTCTTTGATTTACTTCCAGCACTACGGTACATCTTGTCGGATAATTCGAAATGAAGCAAAGCCACGATCATCGCTATCTGTACAAGAATTGGTTAAGAGTTGTACTTCGTAGCCATAGAAATATGCATCCATTATTAATTCGCGATGGTGTGGAATCAATGTGTAGTGTGTAAGCTCCTCGTTATGGAGTTTTACTACTGTTATAGCATCTGGCTCTTGTTCATCCGTTTGAAGTATTCTCAAATATTGAATAAATCCATAACAATTTTCATACGTTGTCCCATTCGATGCTGTAACATCATAGCAATAATAAAATTCAAATTTGTTTGAAGATTGAGATTAAAAAGATGATGCTTTAGAGTAGATTGTATATATAGATTTTTTACGATGAATCTCAACAATAGACAATGGAATTTTCAATTTTGGGAAATCATCAACTTTTGATTCAAATGGAATGATTCCACACAACTCATGAAATATTGATGACAATAATTACCGTATAAGCTGAGTTTCTCATTATGACGGTCGTTTGAATTGAACTGCCGTTGCATTGAGACTCTTGCGTTGAACGGTTTGGGCTTATTTCCTTTCGCAATTATTGAGAAGCCTTTGAATTCAATATCGGTTTGGTCACAAGTTGGACTATCTATTCGGATAAATAATACTTGTCAAGTGGTGTGAGACTTGCGTTGTAGCAATCGTATTGAATTTACCAATTCGGATTGTTGATTGCTGTTTGTATGCTTTGTAAAGAGGCATTCGGAGAAGTGATTCTTCCGTCCGATGTGGTTGGGTAAACGAATTCAGTTGTATTGTTGTTATATCATGGTGTACTGTTCCTACCTGTGGCCCTGTACTAAACCGTATCATCTCGATACGCCCAACACACCTATCATCACCGTCATCAATGTCAGGTATTTCAGTTGTGGGCACCCCACGATGATTTAAATCACTCTGATCGCGACTATCGCCATATAAATTTGCTGCAATCAATTATTTAAACAGTATATTTTTGCGTGAATTTTCTACTCAAAAGCAACAATTTGAGCATATAAACTGAGCGGTATGTTTACTTTTGCTTTAACTAAAATTGAACAAAATAATAGTGATTCTTCACTTTTTGTTTAGCTAACTTACTATTGGGGATGTTGAAAGCCAGTGAAATCGATGGACATATTAATAGTATTGCAAGCCAAATCATACTGTGCGAGGGTGTAGATTTTACAAGCAATTCTTAAACGATTTTAGGTGTGAACGGTGGGTAAAGCTGAAAAATTGAGGAAAAATACAATATAGATCACTTTGTAAAGTACAGTTACTTAGCTACTTAATTATTATTATTTTCAAAATTGATTTAACAGAGTCTTCTGCTCAGCCAGTATTGTTTCATTTGAGAAACAGTGCACTCAGTTACCGTAGTATTTATTATAGGATTCACTTTAGAAGTGTTCGCTGTTCAATCGATTCAAGACGCAAAAAGTGCTTCAACTAACCCAACTTATATACATATTTACCATGAATAATTTGTATTTATATTTAATTTATTTTTCATGATTTTAATTAAAAATAAATGGAATCTAATTAAGGCTTTTAGAGCAAAACATCTATAAATTTTTTGAATTTGAAGAATTGAGAAAAAATCAGACGTAATTTCATATAATAACTAAGGTTAGTTGAATGGCTGAGCGCACTATAACGATACTATGTTCCACTTTAACTGAAAATATTTATTATTTTTTCGAGGCGATTTTCCATACAATTTTCTTCAGAGGCGTTTTTTAATGACAAAAATGAATGGTCATGCCACTCATATTTATCACAGAATGCAAATTAAATGATAAGGATTGAGAATATAAGATTGTTTAGTTTTTCTTGTATTTTAATGTCTATTTTTTTCAAAAATTATCATTGCTTTGTGGTCATGGGTGTCAACATATGGAATATACCGTTATAAAAAATTATGTGCCTTCAAATCCGTAGAATATGCCCAAGAATACAAATAATCTAATTGACAATTAAATTGTATGTGCATGCAAAGTGATTAGAAATAGATTGAAAAAGAATTCTTGCCGGTAGTTAGCTGTGTGCTATCAATGTACTTTCTTATTCCATTCTGAATTTTCGTCTGCCATTTGAAACTGAATAACGATTGCAACGTACGTTGTAACCAAAACAATTGTCTGAAAATCAATTTTTGGTTAATTTTTTACAGTTTTACGATCTCAGATCGTCGATCTGTCTTGTGCTTTCATAAAAATTATACCGATTTAAATAATCCATGTTTGAAATGGAACATTTGTTTCATGTTTATTTGGATTGGCTGCTGTTTTATGTGGAGTGAAAATATTCGGATGAAGCGCTGGTAGTTTTGATCATGATAATTTGATGTTGTGTGTAGTGCCTGTGACATGGACTTGCCCTGGAAGAAATAGCAATCAAACATGTTGACATTAAAGTTTAATGATTAAATCAGTCCATTTTCGAAGTTTACTATGCTCTGACATCTTTCAGAAACTGAACAAAGATACCAAAATATTATTAAAAGCGAACTGTTGTAAACCAAAACGTCTGAAATTTTTTAATGAAAAAAAATTGAAAACCCTTCGAAGGATTGGGAATAAAATCTAAAGAGTGAAGCTAATTTATGACTTACGTAAATACAAGCCGCTTGATTCATATAAGTTCCAGTTAATATAGATCCAGTACGATCCATTAATCAATTCAAGTGTGATTTTAATCAAGAATGTGATGAGTGTCCAGCCGAAGCAATCACTCGTCAATGTAACAATGAACCACACATTCGAATAAATCCCACGAATATGCCGAATTCTCTCTGGATTAAAACTGCTTCCGATTTCTTCGTTGGACTGTTCGCAGCTTTGCATCTGCTGTTGTTTCAACAATGCTTGCAGATCCTCTAGAGTGTCGGCAATGATATTCAGATACAGTGCAATTTGGCACCATCGAATTCGGCTTACAACCACGCCGAATAACATGAATGGCGTCATGAAATATTTATCGTTAAAATTTTTAGGTAATTGCGAAAATGCACACGCTATTGCCAAAGCAATGGCAAATATGAAAATCCCGATTGTCGGAATGTATTTGGTATGGCGAGCTTTATAATTCACCGTATGGTTTAGTTTTGTTGTAAAGATGTCATCGATTGATTTGAATTTTTCACAAATTTCATTCTCTTGTTTTCCACTGAAAAAACTTTCCAAATAAATTGCTGAGTGGATTGCATAACTACTAAATATACTCAAAGCGTTTACATAGTACATCAAAGGACTTCCCTTGTATTTCGTTTCACCATCGGTAAATACGTAATCTTCTCTATTGAAACTTTCTCGCCTTGTAATCATAACAGTAATAGCCATATTGCATGATGCAAACACCACGAAATACAACAAAAATAATATCGATTTCAATTTGTTATTGCAAAAATTCGGCCTAAACACAGAATAATGAGAAATGCATATGGCTTGAAATATGCGAGTATAAGGCTTCCAGAAATTTTCAAATCCGTATGACATTTTGCTGTTTCTATGTCGTTCACTGTGGACACAAATTGAGTGAAGAATATATTCGTTTGATCATTGGTTCATAACTGTTTTAAATTTTATTGATAGTTGCAGTAAATTCGTACCAAATCGAACTTTTATTTCTTCACACTTGACTCTTCCAGTGAAAGTTAATTCATTAGTGATGAATCAATCGATCAATAAATTTCTTCACTTTTATGCATAATGTCAAATGTCATTGATGAAATTTCATTTTTATTTCATTAATTTTAATTTGGTCTAATTTGATTCAAATGGAAAAGTGCCATCAAAGAGATGAAATTTCATTAAAACGCTGCAATATGATGAGATTAAGATAAACATTTTGCAAAACACATATATGAAGTAATAAAATTGATTGGATTCATATCTGATTATTCTCTTGGTTGTTATCTCGTTGACGAAGATTGCCGCTTTGTTTTCATCATCATTTTTAATCATTGAATTTTTCTCATTTTTTGTTCGGAAATTTGAAATTGAATGACAATTGCCACGTATGTCGTTACCAAAACGACTATCTACAAAAGTAGCACACACAATGTGAATGATGCAATTGTGAGCAATATTACCGTTATTCCACACTTTAAATAGTGAATAATTGAATTTAAACATTTCTTTCATTGTTATCTTGATTGGTTGTTTCCGTAATTGAAGCGAAAAGATTCGAATGAATCTTTGATAAACCAAGAGAAACGGCCAATATGTTTATACGCTGTCTATCCGCCAAAAATACACTACAATATATATTCACGCTTATTGGACGCCGAATTGAATATATATTCTAGTGTATATTCGGTGTATTCTTCAGCGTGAAACATATTGAATCAATGAATGCATTCATGACCATCAGAATATGTTTCAATATGTTTCATGCTGAAGAATACACCGAATATACACTAGAATATATATTGAATTCGGCGTCCAATAAGCGTGAATATATATTGTAGTGTATTTTCGGCGGATAGACAGCGTATAAACATATTGGCCGTTTCTCTTGGGAATTGCGGTCTTAATTGTATGATGGTGTGTGTAAAGCCATTAAAATGTCTCTTCCCTAGTCTCGACGTAGAAATTAAAGCGAGCGTTTTTCATTTATTTTTTAAATTGGACATACAATTTTCTTCGGCCACTTGAAATTGGATGACGATAATGACGTATGTAGTAGTTAATACAATTGTCTGAAATGAAAAGAAATCGATCGATGTTGAACAGGTCAAAACACATGAAACTTCAACTCACATTTTTCAAAAGAGGGTAATTAAATGTGAACATTTGCTTCATTTTCAATTCGATGGGTTGTTTTTTAATTTGAAGTGAGAATAATCGAATGAATCGCTGATAGTTTTGATCTTGATAATTCGAAGGCGTATGCAATGCTTTTAGAACTCCCCTTCCCTACCAATGATATTTAAATATAAAATTCCATGAACCATGAGCTTTTTTGCTATACACTCACTGCATTTTGGCATCGTTCGCAAATTTTGATGAAATAGCAAAAATTCACCAATATCGTTATGATGTAACAAACTATTTCTGAAAATGACGGCACTGATCTTTATTTCATCCATTCAAGTATCAATTTTTTTGAGGTCTTACGAATAATTCTGACGATGGACTTGTGCACAACGACGGTAATGTATGCCCAATAACAGAAATTGATAAGTTCGGTTGTAAATTCGATGAGCAAAGTGATGAGAGACCAACCGAAACAATTGCTTATTAGATTTTTTATGAGCCATGCATTTGAGTAGACAGCTCGCAAATGTTCGATTTTCTCACCGGAGCTCGTGGTCGATGCACGATAATTTTCTTGTTGTCGCTTCAATAAGACTTGCAAATCCCACAAAATATTCGTCAAGGCATTTATGTGGAATGAAATTTGACATCGTCTGACCCGAATCATTGAAACCGACATGATGCGATTTAATAGGAATAGAATTATACTGCCATCCCTGGGCAAAGAGAAAAATGACAATGCAAAAGACAAAGCTGCCGATAATGCGAAATAGGCAACTGTGTGTCGAACAAATTTTCGCCGAATCGTATTAAAATTGGTGGTGTATTCCAGCTTTGTTGCAAATATGCCGTTGATTTCTTTCAGTCTGCGGTAAATTTCCTCTTCTTCATTTTTCGTGAAAAATGCCTCTAAATTGGCCGTTAAATGCGCGATGAAATTTCCAGCGATACTCACGAGACTCACATAGTACATAAGTGGGCTTCCTGTGTATTTAATGTTGTCCATAACTTGAATGTGCTCCAATGTGTGAAGCATAACCCAGATATGTAGTAGAGTGAATGTCGTGAAATAAATCAAGCCGCCAAAATGAATGTTCGAATTGAAAATCGAATAATGCGACACACAAAATAATTGAAAAATACGAACGAACGGATGCCAAAAAGCATCGAAATCCAAAGGATTGTGGACCTTCTTTGATGAAAACATCGTTCCAAACCAAAGAATCCACAATAAGTGAGAGTTTCACTGCTCACTATTTCAATTTCATTTTCAATTCAATACTCAAATTAATATTCGAAAGTTGCATTTGAAATCCATCGTTGCATATCATATGATTGAAGTGGAGATATTATAATTTTGCTCTTATCCGTTGAAAATTTCAACTAAACAGTAAAAAATATGAAGCATTAGTGTGATTGCTGGCCCAAATGATGTTTATATTCATATGGATTATATGATGAAATTGAGCACCATTTCGGCTTTTCGAAATAGTGAACGGTAATAAAATCGCTCTTCAGCACCCTTATCGCCTATGCCGTAAGCAAATAAAATATTTGTTAGCTCAAAAAATAAATCCAACACAAGCACAATTGTGTGCTAACAATTTTGATGAATTTTATTAAGAAACTTAGATTGACATGTAACTTCAAATGATTTCACTTAACTATGATGGACTTAAACTAAGAAAGTTAGTCATTTTTGTCTGAAATTAGTTAACTGGCTGCTCAGTTACGATATTTGCATAAAGGACATCTGAAACAGAATATTTTGAATGCATATTACTCCTACGAGAACTCATTTGAATTAATTCTTAAATCTTACGAATAATTTTGAACATGGATTCGTAAACATTGATAGTAATATACGCCCAATATGAACTGTTGACGAAGTCAAAGTAGTAATCCATAAGAAATGTTATAAAAGACCATCCGAAGCAGCAGCTCAACAAGTTCTTTATCAAGTACACCTTAGAATAAATATCTCGCAAATATCGGATATTTTCACACGTGCGTTTGTTCGAATTGTGGCGATAATTTTCTTGTAGTTGTTTCAACAATATTTTCACATCCATTAGAATATTGCATTGTCGCGAAAATGGTATTAACTTCTTCAAATCGCCTGTACATTTCCTCTTCCTGAAGAGACATTAGTGGCTCTAGATTAGTGGCATCTCTTTATACTTAGTGCTGCCCAAACCCAAAGACAGTGCATTGTAAAAACCAAGATGTGATATATCAAGCGCTCGATGCGTTGCTTTGAATTGTAAATGGAATAGTGTGATACACAGAATACTTGAAAGACACGAACAAATGGCCTCCAAAATGATTCGAATGATTGAAAATTGTATCGCTTCTTTGACGAAACCATATTTTTGGCTGGAAAATTCTGTAGCAAATGAATGTTTAAAGAAATTGCATCAGGTATTAAGGTGCAATCAATTAGACTAATGCAGTTTAATCTCTTATTTTGTTGCTATTGATTGACACTCACATTCAAGGCTTCAGTGAATTCGTATTCAAATGTTTTTCAAAAGACTTGATGCATTCTCCTCGGCAATTTGAAATTGAATCACAATCGCGATGTAGGTTGTTATCAAAACAATAGCCTGAAACAGAGTTTCAATTATTTCACGTAAATTTTCACTTTTTGAACTAGAAAAAATTATTTCATTTTTTGAAAAGAAGAAATGAGTTGAAAAATAAACGAATATCAAAATAGGTAATCGTCCAAAAAAAAAACATTCCAATCTTGGATAAAGTTTGCAGTTGGAAATTATGAATATAAATGATCAGAAGTGCTGACAAACAAACGTATAATCATCATACGTACGGACTTCAGGAGAGCATAATTAATTGTGAACATTTGTTTTATTTTGATTTGAATTGGTTGTTTCCACAGTTGGATAGAAAAAATGCGAATAAACCGTTGGTATTGTGGATCTTGATAGTTGGACGGAGTGTGTAATGCATTTGCCACACCTTTTCCCTACAAAAGATACATTTCCTTCATATTCTTCATGCAAAGCAAATCAAATATCAAGTTGCATGCAAAGTTTGTACTACAAACCACATTTTGACAATGTTAAATGTATAAAATTACATAAGCTATGAGCTTTTGTGCTTTACACTCACTGCGTTTTGACAACGTTCCGAAATCATACACAGATACCAAAAATTTAAGTTAATCGATATAAGATAGTACAAAACATCTGAAATAAATTACGATAAATTCAATGCGATGAATCTTGAACGAGCAATGACAGAATCAAAAGCAATTCTTACGTATCGTTTTTAATGTTGACTTGTATGTTTTGATGGTGACATATCCCCAATACGAACTATTTATGAAATCAAAACAGTAATCCATGGCAAATGTGATGAAAGACCACCCGAAACAGCTGCTAAATCGATTTTTTATCAACCAAACCTGTGAAATATATAAATGTATTTTAATGATCCCTTTATATTTAAAATAGAATAAATACCTTAGAATAAATATCTCGTAGATGAATGATATTTTCTTTGATGTGCTTATTGTTGGGATTTCGGTGGTAATTTTCTTGTAGTTGTTTCAATTGAATTTGTAAATCCATTAGGACATTGCTCAGTAAATTGATGATAATTGAAGTTTGGCATCGTCGAACCCGAATTATTATGACTGCACTAGCTCGGCATAGTAAATAGACGAATATGTTCAAGCCACCCGTTGGCAGTGAAAAAAACGATAATCCATATGCTTGAATTGTGGAAAAAATGAAAAATCCAATTGTTTTGCATTGCTCTTTGCGCAGTGCATCAAAATCCACTTTATGATTCAATTTTGTGGCGAAAATTATTAAATTTCCTCTTCATGTTTCCTTGTGAAAAGTGGCTCTAGATGTGCCATCACATGCTCTACAAAATCACCAGTAATGCTCATAAAACTTATGTAGCTCATCAATGGGATTTCTTTATGCTCTGCACTGGCCAGATGGTGTATTGTCTTCAGTGTATAAGCCATAAAAAAGGCGTGCATTGCAAAAATAAAGATGTGATATATCAAGCGACCGATTCGATGATTTGCATGGTATATTGAATAGTGTGAAACACAGAACACCTGAAAAAACACAACAAATGGCTTCCAAAAACTTTCAAATGCTCCAGACTTGTGCACACTTTTTAGCGAACGCATACTTCCGAAGTTCCAGAACGAGTGTGCATTTGAACGGAAATTTCAAGGTTTATAAACATATCTTTGTCGTGGTTAATAACGTATACACAACATCGAGTTTAAATTACACTCATATCATCAACGATAGATCTATCGATTGAATATTGCAATCCAATTAGCAAATGGCTTTGATAAGAATATTATTAGGTCGATGCATTAATGTGATTGACGTGTGATAATTTCATTGGATGGTGACGTCAAATTGTATTACGTATTTAAAATTCGAAAGAGTTACAATAATCTTCAATGTTTCTCCTCAGATATTTGAAACTGTATAACTATCGCAACATAAGTCGTGACTAGAACAATTGTCTGAAAAATGAGATGGATTTTCGAGTCGAGTTTGATTCTTTCTTTCTATATAACTTCTCAAAATAGAAGAAAAACTTCAATTTCGGTTACTACTTTGATGAATAAACTTTAAGCTTCGGATAATAACGGAACACGACAAGCTTTGTCAATCCATGAAGATAGTAACACCGTATGTTCAATTTCAATTATCTCAACTGACCGATTTCAACAATCCATGATTGAATGTGAACATTCGTTTCATGGTGATTTTGATTGGCTGTTCTTGGATCTGAAATGAAAATATACGCACAAATCGCTGATAATTCGGATCATGATAGTTCGATGGCGTGTGCAAGGCCTTTGTCACTGCTTTTCCCTAGCCAATAGAAGTTTATCAGTTAAAGTTTGATCATTTTAATAAATTTGTCATTTGAAGATCCACCCTGACATTCTCCACTATAAACTGGATTAAATCGACTCACCGTGCCCTGGCATTTTTCTGATAAAGAGCAATAATACCAAAAGACAACAGCAATTGAGCTGTTGTACAGCATAATATCTGGAACAATAAAAATCGATTGAATAACAAAAATTGATCCTATCCACCAAGTTCACGCTTACGAATATTCAAACTGTTTGATCCGTATAAGTTTAAGTTGATGTAAAACCAATAACTAGAATTTATGACTTCAATAGAAAATTCAATCAAAAACGTAATCAACGACCAGCCAAAGCAATCGCTCATCATGGTTTTGATGAGCCAAACATTTGAGTAAATCTCCCGCAGATACCGAATATTTCCGCGTTTATAGTTGATGTTAACCGGGCTGTCGGGTCTCTGGTGGCTTTTTATCTGTTGTTGTCGTAGCAAAAATTGTAAATCTTTCAAAATATCGGCGATAGTGTTTAATAGCAATGCTATGTGACAGCCTCGACAACGAATGATGGTCACCGTAAGGATCAATAAAGGTTGGTTAAAGTATTTGTCGTCATTCGAGATGGGCACTCTAATAAGTGAACTTCCTGCCGACAAAAGCCAACACAAAAACTGAAACCGTTTTTCGCACATATCTCAAACGTCTTGCCTTATGGTCGATGACATAGTTAAGTTTAGTAACAAATATGTCGTTAATTTTCTTGAGTTTTTGGTGAATTTCATTCTCCCGTTTACCGCTTAGCAGGGTTTCTAGATGTGTTGTTATATGTGTGGCGAACGTGCCGAATATACTCAAACAATTGATGTAGAACATCAACAGACTTTCTCTGTGCTTCATTATAGGTTGATCACGACCTTCATGTATGCCTTTTATTAAATTCAGCGTTAAGAATGTTACATGAACCGAGGCAAAGACCAAGAAATACAATAAAAATGGCAACGATTTCAAGAAACTTTCACGAAGCTTCGGACGATAAACAGAATACTGCGAAACACACAATACTTGAAAAATACGCGTGAATGGTCGCCAAAATGTTTCAAAATCATTTGGCATTTTCATATTATCCCGTGTCGGATACATTGCTCTTAGCACTGAGAATTTTGTCGTAAAACTAATTTTTTATCACCAACTCTCAATTTTTAAATGAATAAACCGAAGTTCATTTTTTACCTATTTCTGCTTATTTACTGTGTTACTTTGTCAATCAATAAAAGAAGATTCCAATCTTATTGACGGTTTATCTAATAAATTTCCAATTTGTTTTACGCTTCAACTACTCTAAATTCGTATTGAAAGTAAAAATAGATTTGATAATTGAATTCAACTCTTGTCTATGAAGAAGTAAATGTAAAAGTACGAATTTGACTTCAAAGTTCATAATATGACCATAATGTTCAAAATTTTGTATCTTCATCCTTGGTGTGGTGTGTGTTATTTGAAAATACCGCAATCAACCGGAGGTATGGCGAAATCGGTTATACGGTTGAGCAGTTGAAGTTGACAGTCAATGTGTCAATAGCTGTCAAATGGATGCTTACTTGTTTTCATTCAACACAAAATACTCTGAGAAATGGAAGTGAACAATTCAAACTTGTGTCGGCTGTGTTTTGATGAAGGAATTATCAATATTTTCAATGAAAATGGACAAGATTTTATCAAAATAATTCGGCAACATCTCGGCTGCGAAGTAAGTAGTTTGTCAATAACGTCATAACAACTAAAGTCGAATAACAAAAATTATTCAATTTGTATTAGGTTCATGAAAATGATATGCTTCCAAAGTGTGTATGCTCGGTTTGCTGGAATCAAGTGAGAAGCTTTCATAGCTTCTATAAATTCGTCAAAAAGAAACAGAATGCGTTTCTATCGAAATTAAAACCAGAAACGTCCATGCGACTCGCATTGAACTCCGTACATGCACGAGAACAATCTTCATCAAATGTGATCACAGAGCTGAGTGCATCCGATCCAGTTTTTGGTAAAGTATTATTGAATTTTTGATTTCAATTCCATCAAAATCCTTAACATATTTCACAATTGCCTTGAATGCCACACACATATGGAATACGTGGATCTAATGGTAGGCGAGGTTGTTGCGATAAAAACAGAACCTGTTGAATCTCTCCTAACTGAAACAGAAAATGTATTAGCAGACAAAGTGTACGAAGAAATGGGCCAAATTTGTGAAACACAAGTCAAAAGGAAAGTTGGAAGACCAAGAAAAGTTCAGAAGAAAAGTGACTATGAATATAAAGTGGATAAAATGTCGAATGAATTTGAATCAGACGATAGTTGCATGACGGGCGGTAAAAGAAAAAGAGGAAGACCGAAAAAAAGCAAAATCGATGGTAACGTTTGATATCTCTTCTCTTTTTTTGACATTTTAGTTTAAATTTTATTAAAAGAAAAAAAAACGTTTTTTTTCCAGACGATCAGGAATTGTCAAAAATAAAGAACAAAAGGCCAAGAGGTGAACAATCTAAATCGCTCTCAATATATACCTTGGGCAAAGATTATGAAGCTTTTATGCTGGAAAACTTCAATATGTCGTGTGAATTGTGTTCAGCAAAGGATTTCAAGTGTTTTTTCGATGTCAAAACTCATTATTCGGATGAGCATCAAAGCAATGGATATGTTAAGTGCTGTGACAAAAAGTTTATCTACATAAGTCAGGTGGTCGATCACATCGATTACCATTTGAATCCGGATGTTCTCAAGTGTGTAAAAAATAATTTTTATTGAATTATCTTTCTACTTGAATGTATTTAATAATTATACGTCTCTTGAATCTTAAAGGTGTAAACTATGCGGCCATCGAAATAAATCCAAAGCGCTTCTCCGAAAACACATGAGACTGGCGCATGAACAGAAACATCGATTTAAATGTGACATCTGCGGGAACACATTCAATAGAAAACCGCACATGAAGATGCACATACTTCGATTGCACGTTCCAAAGAATCCCAACATCAAATGTGAACAATGTGACCAAACGTAAGTTGAAAATAGCCGTCTAATAGAAAGGAACACATGACCAATTCGATTGTTTGCTATTACAGATTTTCCTCAATAGAAATATTGAAGACTCATCAAATTGTAGTGCACGAGAAACAGTACAATAAAAAACGGGTTCAATGCGAAATTTGTGGGAAGTCAATCAATTTTTCTCGCGTTGAAAATCATCGTATCTCGCATTTGGATAAAGAAGAACGTTGGAAGAATCGTGCTCAGTGTGATATTTGCGGGGAATGGTTTACATCTGCGAGCACGCTGAAGATCCACAAGTTTACTCATGATGCGTCACAAGAAGAGTGTGGAATATGTCATAAGATGTTTGGGCATAAAGCCAATTTAAACGAACATATCCGGAGAATGCATCGCGAACGAGAATTTAAATGCAAATTGTGCCCTAGTGCGTTTATAAGACAACACCAGTTGAATGTAGGTTCATGAATATTTTGGCAACTTTTCGCATTTATTAATGCGTGTTTACATTGAAACGGTATAATTTTAGCTGCATATGGAGAGTCACACGAAAGTCAGGCAATACCCATGCCTATTCTGCCCGAAAATATTTTACGTTCAAAAGTCAATGCACATTCACTACAGTCGTCATCATCGCGCTGAATTCGAAGAAGTGAAACGGAAGAGAAGAATCGAATACATTGGTGGACCTTAATTTATATGAAAAATACCTTTCCTATGTTGAACTGAAGCGCTTCATTTGACTGATGCTTATTTTTTTACGACATTTTATGAAACATTTAATAAATTGATTTTGTATTTTATAATTGAAACGATAAGATGTTCATACTTTCATAAATTTTCATCATTTGAAGCCGATAATATGTTCCACTGACAGTTGTGTCAAGTACGCAGCCATTTTGGCAGAGCTGTCAAACGATTTCGGTTTGAATCTGACATATACCTTTTAACGATGATTTTCATATAAACAAAAGTGTGATTCGGAAAATTTCATTAAAAATTCCGCATTGAATTGGGAATTTCGCTAGAGAAAAAAATGAATGCAAACACCCGAAAAATCATAAGTAAGGAGACGCAGGAGGCGGTTAAACGTTTTCTCACATCAAATATTTCAATACGTAATGTACGTATATGTTGTGAATTATTGTTGTTGTGTCGATTGTTTTAACAAGAATGCATTCAATTTTATAGGCATCACCTCAGACGCCAAACATTATGGACCAGCATTTTTCCCGAATTCTTCAAAAGAAACGAGAGGAACAATTGGAAGCGTCGAGACAAAGACTGTTTGACAGCAGAAATGAGTCTGCATTTGGAAAAAATGGTTCCATGCCGGTTGAAAAAGATATTACTCTCGATAACAGCATGATATTCTTCGGAAGAGTAAATAAATCATGGCGCGATGTATCTGGCGAAGATAGTTTCTTGGCCATGGAACGTCAATGTAATATGGAAGACAAAACCGAGCGTATAATTAATGCCAACGATACTTTGCTATTTGACATCGAACCACCTGCTGAACTCTGGAATCAAACCGTTAACCAAAGCGACACTGTCGAGGGTTTGGATAAATCAAAAGACAAAAACGATTATAAAGACGAATATGACGAAGAGAAAGATGATGGAGATGAAACAATTGAAATTTCTCCGGTGAAGTACATTGGCCTGATCCGTCCGTCCACAATCATCGAAGAAACGTCGTCACAGCTTGATTCATACAACAAGAATGGCAGTACATTGTTGTCGACAAAGTCGTCATTGTATGAAACGGCGTCAATAAACGAATCAGTGAATGGCAACAGTTCAAAATCAATCGATGATTTATCAGTGGATGGTAAAAGTTCCGCAACTGATGTTGTCCAACTGATCAAAAATGATGGGATTGAAAGTGATTCGAAAAAGGAAAATGGAAGTAATGCGAATCATGAAGATGCTATCGCCTCACCATTTGATAAGCAATGTGCTGAACGTCAACGCCGAGGCACCTTTGCGTTTAAACGCGACAATTATACATTTTTTCCCGACCAAAACTTGGAACCAATCGATGAAAGTGGTGCAAACAGAAGCTTAATCGACTTTGGAGCCAAGTCAAAGGATGACAATAGTATTGAAAATGAAGATCAATTCAATAATACACTCGAACGTGTGGACTACCTTTTGGAAAGAGGTAAACAGATATGGGAAGAGACACCAATTGCAAAACGAAGCACTCATCACCAAAGTCTCATGGAAACACCGCTGTTTTCGTGCAAGCGAAAGAGACTGCTCAACGAAATGGCCTCCATTGAAATGCTTCCATTGGCCAAACGAGGTCCCCTGATTGACTGTTCAACGCCAGAAATATTGCATAAAATGCGATTCAACAAATTTTCTGGCAAATGACACACAGTTGGTTGCCAATAGGAGGCAATACTCATTATGACACATTCCTTTCCATACATGCCTGCATGATAAATTGCAATTAAATTAATATAGGTGTTAGTAAAATATATTTACAAAATATATTATTATTATTTCCATCACAAAGTGATTAAAATATCCGTTCAATTAACTTGTGAAAGAGTTTAAAATTTTTATTTTTACTCATTTTCGTTTGTAATTATACATTTAATCTAAATTTAATCTGTTTACTATGCAATATCATTTTCATATCAATAAATATATCATTTTTGGTACACCAACTGATGTTTGTTTACATTCCGTTTGTGGAAACAATGAAACTTCGTAGACTGGACGGAAATCAATGAACAAAGATAATTTTGAACGTTGTAACCGATAACGTTAATGCTCGAAAAAGGGGAAATCGAGGCAGTCGGTTCTGTTTGTAGATTATGTTTATCATCGAAAAAAAAAAACAATCTTCTACTTATATTGTTCCACAGTAGAATGTGAGAATGGTTAGTATTCAACTTTGATTTGTTCAGACGAATAATTGGGCGTTAGGTCAAGATACAATAATAAATGAACAAATTGGTGAAAATTACGCATATTTTGGTGATTATCATCATTATAATAATATCTATGGTACGTGATTGTAGTTCAGATACTGTGAATAAATTGAATAAATTGAATTTGCTCCATAGGTCATGGTATTAAAATGAATTTTTCTCTTCTGTGTTGTGTGGCTCTTCAGTGTTGTGTATTCTTCCAAACGATCCTGAATGCACAGAATTATTCGGACCAACTGTGTGATAGTGTACTGTTTATCATGAAAAAGTATTTGGACATTGGATGTGCGGAAATCAAAAAAACTATTTTGTTTTGACAAAAGAAAAGATTTGAAATTTATTTTCATATTATTTTATTATTTTTGCTCGATTTTTTCCGGAATTGTGCTTAGCTCAGATCGATTTGTTTGCAGATTTTTACCTTTAAAAATAAAATGAAGAAGAAATTAATACCCAGTTTTTTAATTAGGCAAAGAATTAATTAGAAAAAACTGTTTGATTTTAAAATTTCAGAGTTTGTTTTTTTTATAGCGAAATCATGTGTGTATCATACTCTTCCTATCAAAATGGATATCATCATTTTAGTGAATTTTTTGAGAAAATATTTAAATCAGAAGAACCAATTACCTTTTTATAAATCAGGGAGAGCGATTCGCCAACAGAAATTCCAATGAAAAACTATGAAGAAAGAGAATGGTCATTTCTAGACAATGTTGAAATAATATCTTGATTTGTATGATTGAGAATAAATTCAGAATTTTTAAGAATAAAATCATATTTGTATCATACTCTTCCTATCAAAAATAGTTTCATCATGGAAAATCAAATTTTATGAAAAAATAGTGGAAATCTTGAGTAAACTGTCCAAATCACTCACCTCAAATAATTGGAGAATCGTACAATGACGCATATGATTTCGGCCAGCCATCTAAAATATAAAAGTTTAAATATGTTACTTCCAAAACACAATCAATTTATGGAAATGATAAGAATACAGTTTGAAATGGAAATTCAGAAATTTTTTTAAAAAGTAAAATCATGCATGTTTCATACTCTTCCTATCAAAAGGATATCATCATGGAAAAAAGCTAAAGAGTGTTGGAAAATTATATTATAATTGATAATTACCATTCAAATAACAGAGAAGAACATTGTGTGTTACTCTCATGTTGTGTCGAATCTACGAAAAAACAATTTAAAGGTATTAGTTAATTTAATAATGAACATTCAAACCGATAACTGGTTCGATTAAGCTATTTCAGAGTTTGAAAAATTAAAATCATCTATGTGTCATACTCTTCCTATCAAAAAAAGGTGTCATCATAAAAAATTAAACAATAATGATGCAAAAAATACAAATCCTACCTTTTCGGTCAAATTCAAGCAATGGGCAGCTTCAAAATGATTCAAGTTCCAAAATCTGAAATTATAACGAAAATTCAAAGAAAATGTCATGAATTTTTTTTTATCAATCGCCGATTTACAATTTTTTGAACGAAAAAAGGTCAGCAATTTTAAAAATAAAATCATTTATGTTTCATACTCTTCCTATCAAAATTAATATCATCATGTTTTTGAATAGAAACGAAATTTCATGAGAAAATAAAATGTCAATTACCTGTGATGCATGATGTGGTTGGAAGAAGATGTTGTGCCGATGACTTGCTAGCCATACCTAATATCAATTTATCCTAAAAACACTCGGCTAACTAAATCAAAAGACGCTCAATTCCACAGTTTGGTTATTAAGTTTTAAAAAAAATGTGTATTTCTAGATCAAATTGCAATAATGGTGCATACTTTTGGTGTGCAATGCTTTTCTTTTGTTCTGTGTCATTTTTATATTGCAAAAGTTCTAAATTCTAAAGATTTATGTTTTTGAAAACCTAAAAAAAAACATGTAAATGCTTGCTTTTATAGTCTATGAGAGCACTGAGTTCATGCATAAGAATCACAAAGGGTTATATGTTCAGTTAACAGACTGGATCGCCTCTCGTATTTTGTGCAAATCGAAATTACGATTATCTTTTATCAATGATTTCAATGGAGATTATTTCTGACAATTATATTAAAATACTTTGTATTTACAAACAAACATTTGTCTAAATTAGTATAGAGAACTTACAAAATCTAGTTTATGTTTATTTGTTCACTCATTCTTTTTTGTTGTTGTTCTTGTTCTTTCTATACTCGATTTGTTAATTCAATTTTGGTTAATAACTCTCTAATGCACAGATTCGCGTCTAGGCATGGGCTAGAGCGTTGAATATCTTACACGGTTGCGGCTTTTTTTTTTATACTCCACGGTTTCTCAAATCTTTAACTTTGTAAATTCGCACAAGCCAATGTTCAGTCGTGTATGCTTCTTCCAAAACATCCAATTCGAAATCTTTGTTGCCAATTTCGGCGGCACGGACACGATCGTAGCCTGGCGGTTTGCCACCTTCGGTGTAGACCTGTGGAAATAGGAATCAAATAACATTAAAAATAATTATTGGTCATTACTCATAAGACAGTGTTGCTCAATAGACAAATTACCTGTCCGAATCGATAGTAGCACATTTTGTACATCAAGCAATTCAAGAGAGTTGGTGAACCTTCTCGATCGATGCGGAAATCGCCACTTTGTGGAGCATAGTAGTCGCTTTCCTTGATGTGAGCGCCACGATCGGTGCTGCCACCAATTCGAACCATCCATAAGAATTTGTTAATGTCATCCGAGGAGTAACCAGTTAATCCACCGAAAATGACTAAAACATAGTTGACATCAAGTTCACGCATAATTTCATAAGCCTTCTCTTCGGATGATGCCATCGCTTGGCCAACTCTTGAAATGTGCGTATTGTTCCACGTGTTATTGTCTACTAAAATTGTTCGATTTGCCATGGCCGTGATTTGATAGCCATAATCCCACCATGACATAATGCGAGCATCTTCTGGTGTATTCATTTTCAACCAGTAGTAGGCTTCGCGAAAATCATCAAAGATAATCCGTGAACCGTCCATTGAACGAGCGCTGAGCACAATCGATGGCGATGAATAGGCTTCACTTGTAACCCAAGTGCAGTGGAACGTATATGTAATCAATAGGAATGTCATGAGACCAACAAATGCCCATGCAATCTCCTTCTTTACACCCGACTGTTGCTCGTACTTCTTTGACTTTTTGGCGTCTTTGTTCGAGGATACGGCGGCTGTAGTTGAGGTAGGTGCAGTCACAGGGCTCTTGATGTATTTTGACAGAAGATGTGACACGGTAATACCAGAAATTACGCACATTACTGGTGCCAATACCAACATCAAACGAACCATTACACCCTGGAAAAAGGATTGTCATGAATTTCTTAACGAAAATACGATTCAAGACATTAAATTGCTTAAGGCATCAGCACTTGAATTTGGTGTCAAAGCAAAGACTTTTTCACATTGGATTTGTTTAGATTGCATATATCGACTTATTAATGGACCTAAAATTTATTGAATACATCAGTACATACCGCAAAGTAAATGCTCGTAACGCCATATAAAATGATGAAAATGTTAGCATCGGTCAACTTTGCAAAACACAGGTACAAACCAGCTGGGAATAGGAATACCAAAATCTGCGAAAACAATTTTCCATTAAAACCTTCGAAATAGAATTTGAATGAAGCAAAATTGGCCGATAAATGTATTTATTCAGCGATCAAAGTGTAAACAGTCATGGTGATTCAAAATCGCCAGGAGTCGATCAAATTAATGAGTCTCACCGGCAGTTCGATTTCGATCACATACTGGGATTTATTTTTCATCCGAAATTAAACGAAATATTTTCTCCTGACTTTCAACTTGCCCCAATCTACAATCAATACAAAATGCTCGAGAGCAACTCACTTGCAAATCAAAGTAAAACGATGACCAAGAAGTCGGTTGATGCTCAGAAACTGAGGCAATAATTGGAATGTGATTTTTGGCGTAGCTAGGATCCAACAGACTGTAGAAACGTCCAGTCCATGGTGACACTTTGCCTAGAATATTGAATTTACAGTTGGTTATTTCACTTTCAAGATTTGATTTTATCAATTTGATAGTTTTTTCCGAAACTAATTCGAAAGTTGAATTGAATACTTCAACGAATAGATTGTCAAACACTTACCGGTGATGCTGAGAATGATGCCAACAATGACAACTGCACTAAAAACAGTCATTAAAACGGCCTTCAACAATGTTTCAAAATACTCTTTCGAGAGACGAGCGCGTACATACTCGATGAATGCAAAGATTTGGCACAGCCCAAACACACCCAAAGCCTATTGCAAATAAAAACGAAGCATATTTTAGGTATATTTAATTTTGAACAGTATTTCAATGGAAACAAAAATAAATATTTTTAGAAAAATCAGAATTTGAAAATTCAAAATCATTTATGTGTCATACTCTTCCTATCAAAATGGATATCATCATTTAATTCACCAAATATTATGTTAACCAATGCAATCAAAATGATTTGATTTTTTCAATAAATTTATGCATAAAACTTACCAGCATATGTTCAGAGCTTTGAACCGGTTGAAAGCCAACGAATGAAATTTGCATGGACAAAATGGTTCCGACACAGTACAAGATGCTGTATGCAACATAAATGCGATGGGAAAATCGACCGGTGAGCAATAAGGCGAGCACATGCAATGGGATCAAGTTGATGAGAAAAACATAACCACCCCAGGATGATACCATGTAGAAGTAAGCCAAAGCCGACATGGTTGACCAGAGGATAGTACCAGTTTTAACCGCTTTGATCCATAAGTAGTACGTTAATAACATGCAGAAAATGGCAATTCCTTCGTTATCATAAGAACCAGCAACTGATCGCGAAATGTATCCGGGGACAATTGAAATCATAGCGGCTGCTACTAAACCAGCTCCAGTGCTCTGTTAATAAAAGCAAAAAAATTGATATAATATACGATATTGAATTATCATATGATATTTTCTTTTCAAAGACGTGCACAACTTACGTGAATTTCTTTAGTCAAGAGGTAGGTGACCAATGTGGTGAGTGATGAGAAGAACGGTGCCAAAAAAACGCAAACATTTCGAATGTCCACGGTAAAGTTCAGCAACCATAAAATGCGATACAATGCAGCTGATGTGACCATTAATCCAGGATAGATGGTACCACCAATTATTCGACCCAACGGATACCATGCTCGATCATCGAACCAATTGTGAAAATTGTAGAAACCTTGTTCGGTTAAAAATCGCGTTGTGCGATAGTTGAAGTACGGATCGAATTCATGGATAACACTCTCGAATCGTAGAACCGAAAAGAGGCGTGTTGCAAACGCTGCAGACGACAACGAATGCATAACAAATGAATAACTATTGATTTTGTTTTACATCATTGATTGTGTGGGTTGTATAACCTCAACAATCGGGCTGGTATTGGATGTGATTTTTTTTTTTTGGATATTGAATATGGAAAAAAATGGGATTTGACTCACATAAAATAGCGGCTGTGGTTAATATCGCCAATTTAACGAGATGTTCTTGCTTTTCCAGCCCAAGCCTGGCTTTCGATTGTGTGGATGTATCCATTTTAGTGCCTTTTATGGAAGATAAAAAATAGAATTATGGTTTACCTTCATTTCCATCGCAATTTTATTGCAGCTTCACGTTTTTTTCCACAATTTTTTTACATCAATTTCAATATTTTTATAAATGACGATAATATTTACCAAATTTTTATCAATTTTTCTGATAGAAAAAAAAAACACCGGCACCACAAATATATCTCAAATCATTATTGACGGCGTGGCACACACATAAAATACTTTAAGCATCAGCCATATTTTATTTCGCAGTAGAATGACAGTCAAACGCAATACAACCAAACCGGCAAAATGTTGAATCTTTTAGTGTTTATGAATTTTAAAATGGATAAAAAATCCACAAAAACCAATAAATTTTTTTAAGAGATATCATTCAATGTCAAAAAGACATTGAAAATAATTAAAAACTAATTGAATTTACCATTTTTACGCATTGAGTATTTCAATTGAAATCAAATGAACGGCAACGTACATGGAACGCACTCTTGCTTCGCGCCAAATTCACATTCGCAAATGTCAGTGTGACAATGTCAGGGTCATTCGCAGCTCATCTCAATGCAAGTTTTTCTTATTTTACTACTGTCAAACGAAGTTTTAACGATTTTTTTTTTCAGTACAAAAGAGTGCACACAGTACAATTATTCCCATGCATCGAGTCAAAACAGATGCGCAAGTTTGCACCGATATCAAGTCAATGTAGTGAATTTTACTGCACTAGTTTAAGATGAATACATCAAATTTCGAAGAAATTTTCCGTTTATTCCAAGAATTAGCTCAAACATTGGCTGGTAAAAATGGTCAACGTAAGTGCATTGAGTGCGCAATTAGCCCAATTGATATATTTTACTTTGAGCTTGTTAATTAATTTGCTCTAACTGTTGCGTTGGTTTTAATTAAATATTATTGAAATGGATGTGTTTTGTGATGTTGTTGTTTTTATTTTTTTAAAGGTTGGGCCATGGATAGTATATCTGGTTATATATCGTCGCACCCAAATACGATAAGCGACAATTTGCCATTCGATGAGTCAGAGCTATTGAAGAGAATCCAGAATCAATTAAGCATGTCGAAAACGCCAGTCAATGCTACGCTATTTAATAATCACTTTCAACAACTGTCGACATGTGTAAGTTGGCTTTAGTTTCTTTTCATGACAGAATTGCTGTGTGTAAAAAGTAGGTTCAATGCAGTCAGTTGCAATGTGAAAATATTCATTTGTGACAGTGTATTGGTGTGTCGAACGAGTCATATGATTGGCTGGCTTAGTGTACAACAGGAGAAACATTTCAAAATAACAACAATGTGTGTTTTTGTTGATTTTGCGACTGAATATTTTTCACAACAACAGTCGGTTCCTTGTCGATGCGTTGAAAACCACAGACAAATGTTCAAATATGGTTCTACACCGAAATGTTGAACATATGTTTTTTTCTCTTATTTCATTCCAACATCGATGCGTTCATTGTAAATGTTCAAGCCAGCATCATAGTAGACAAAGAGATTGAGTATACGATGAAATCGGATCTTTTTTTTTCTGTATCCAGTGAATAGACATTCATTCTGCCAGCATCGTTTGAAGTGTGTGGTACGCTTGAAACCATTCATCCGTTGAAATTCTTTGTGTTTTTTTTCTTCTTGCAGACTGACGCACATACTCGCACATCAATTTTAACATTTCTTGCGCTAATGGCACAAAGCGAGAGCAATGCAAATGGCAAAAGTGCAGTTAATAACAATGGAACAACGAAAGCACCCTTTGAAATGCCGTCGTCAAGATCACGTACAGCATACTTGCAGCAAACCAGCGTTGCGCTGGGACGACGCTTGATTACGGGCCCAGAACAATACGTTACACCACCAGCGCGTGTATGTATAATTTTTTTTGTCAAAAAACATTGTCTTCAAGTGTTTTAAGTTATTTGTGAATGTACTGTGATCTTTTTTACGAACGTAGGCAATCCCATCGAGTACATCCACCCAAAATATTAGTGCCAATCAAATGCAATGTCCAAAAGTGCAAAAATCTAGAAGCATGGGAAATTTTCAACAAAGTATCGCTCTTTCGGAAATCACTCCATACTCTGAATACACAATCACTTCACAACCAGCGGAAAGTGACGGTGATTTTGTGCAAAATGTTATTTACGCATTAACCGGAATCGAAGGGAAATATTTCAAAAAGGATATCATCACCGGTGGATTGAAGCTCGATGCCAAAGTACGCATCAGCGCAAAACATTCGGCCATACTTTTGCGGTTGGCAGAAGTGGCATTTTACCACGAACAATTGATTTCATTCACCGATCCGAGTACTGGTCGCAGCCCATTGGGCTTACTCGGCCAAGGTTTAGTCACCGCATTGAAGCATGAACTCACAAAATACTATGGAATGGTTGCAATGCTTCAAGAGCAGGTTTGTTTAAACAAAAGATTTTTTTTTTCACATGCGAATTATAACCGAATCGGACATGACTTATATGAGAGAAATGAATATTCATTTCAGCACAATCGCTATAGTCGATCAGCCCACAGCACTGAACGGTTAACCCTACTTCAGATTGAGATGCTAATGGTTGAGCCACGTGAACGTTTGCAGTGGTTGACCAACATTGCTGAAGCGTGCCAAGAAAAGAAAGGTGGCGCTTTGGCTACGGAAATTTTCGCATTCAAAAATGACGGTAACACCAAACGCAAGGCTCTAGTCCATGATTTGCTAGTCGCTGTGTGCACACCATTGCAATATATGCTTGCCAAGTGGTTGATTGAGGGTGAAATTAACGATCCACACTCGGAATTTTTCATCGAGGTTCTGCCAGAAGTCGGCACCGACCGTCTATGGAATGATAAATATCGCGTTCGCGAAACAATGCTTCCATGTTTTATAACAGAGTGAGTAACGACCAACAATCGAAATATGTATAATTTTGTTGTGATTTTTCGTGTGTTTTTTTTTTCAACAGAGATTTAGCGCACAAAATTCTGGTCACGGGAAAAAGTATAAATTTTTTGAAGGATATTTGTGACGAGCGCACAATAATCAAAGGCCGTAAAGAACTGAAAGAATATCTTGAAACAAATGGTAAATATTTTCTGAACTCTTTTCGATTCTTCATCATCACAACAGTTTTGATGACTTTTGACATTACCTTGTTTCAGTTGAAGACATTTTTGCGGATGTGCCCGACACAAAGCTCCATCTCATGATCAATGAGGTATATTTGGCCACTTCAAAGAAAGTGCTGGACATTGTTATGGGCCCACACAAACTACTGGAACATCTGCAGGCCATGCGCAAATATTTATTACTTGGCCAAGGTGATTTTGTTGGCCTACTTATGGAAAAACTTAAGTATGTTCTCCTCATTCTATTCAACATTATTTTATGACTTTTGTTTTGTTACTTTTTTGTTGATCTCATTTACAAATTATCAATTGATTCGACTAAAAAAAAATATGATTTTAACTCAATGTTGAAATATTTCCAAACAGACCTGAGCTTGATCGTCCGGCAAAAGAGTTGTACAGCTATGAATTGTCATCGATTTTGGATTCGGCGCTGCGTTCGACCAATTCGCAATACGACGATCCTGAGATCTTGAACAATTTGGATGTTCGTCTGATGAGCAATTTCGAAGGCGACACCGGCTGGGACATATTCTCACTTCAATACACAATTCAAGGGCCGTTACTAACAATGCTCGAAGTATCAATGCCAAAATACTTACAACTCTTCAAACACTTGTGGCGTCTGAAACACATGGAGTACGTTTTGTCGGCCAAGATTTGGAAAGACCAAAAATGTAACGCAAAGGTATGCGAAGAGAAAATCAGATCTTGTCCAGAATTTTATTTAAAAAATATTGAATCATTCAACAGATTCTTCGGAGTATGAAGAAGGAGCTGAATCCGGTGCTGTATCGCCTGTATTTGTATACATCACAGATGATTCATTTCATCCATCAAATTCAATACTACATTTTGTTCGAAGTGGTCGAGTGTTCATGGACGAAGTTCCAGGAGAGAGTACAAAAAGCAACGGCGCTCGACGAAATTCTCGAAGCGCACAATGAGTTCCTGCATAATGTTAAAATCGGCGCATTTTTGGAAGATGGCGGCCTAATTCACGGATCACTCGAAAATGTTATAAACGCCAGTAGTAAACTAGAGCCATGGCAAGATCGTTTCTTTGAGCTTTGCCTGACTGAATTGAATTCGCGACGCCAATTCGAAAATCAGATAAAAACTAGTGCAAAGACTGGTAAATATGGCGTTACATCTGAATCACGTTTGGAACGTGACGAAGCACAGAAAATGTTCGACCTGTCAATCGCTGAAGCTAGAAAATCATTGGAGAAGATCGGCTCCGACTATGAATTTGCCGTCAAACAATTCCTCTTGTTATTGGCTGGTCTTCAGAATCAGCCGGATATTCTGCAGTTTGGTATACGATTGGATTTCAATGAGTACTACAAGAATCGTGATCAACGCTTGGGAGCGCCGCTTACGTTCGAGCATATGCGAATGACCATGAGCAGCATGCAATTCCGTAACAGCAACATTATGATTTCAAGCGTTGGCGCTGGTGCAACACCGATGGCCAGCACGTCTCGATTCCTTACACAGTCTTGCCACAACTGACCGTTGTCACAATTTGATCCCAGTGATTTCCACATTCAGCAAATATCATCGAGTCAATTATTTTACTCTTCGTCATTTCAACCCAATCAAAATGTTAATCTAATCTCAACACAAAATACTCACACAAAAACTCATTGCAAGCATCAAATGGCCAACAATCTTTTGTTACTTGATTGTTGTGATATTTTGTAACCTAACGAACACTGTTTATTCATTAATTCTGCCAAAATAGAATGATAAGCACCACAAAATGCTCTATATGCCAATAAATTCCATATTGAAGGAAAGTAGTCTTTAGCTGTATCACTTTCTCCTCTTTTTACCACAACGAAAACATTTTTTTTTTTCAAAAAATACCAAAAGAACGAACATGTGAACGCAACCTTCAAACGTGAGGCGAACGTCACCTACAAACTAACCTATAATGACATATCTGTCATTCAAACATTCAATTGTGAATAAATAATAAAACTTGACACACTCATTAAGCATTTGGTGACTATTTGAAACCATATCATAGCCAGTATAGTGATTTTATCTGTAGTTCTCTCTCAATAAAACGAAAATGTCCCAAGCAAAATGCTGTTTATGTTCTTTAATTGGTCCATTTCATCCAACACGGCAAGAAGACATTGTTTTTGTGATGATTTCATACGGTACACGAGTAAGAATGATTTTTTAATTTAAAAAGTATTTCTTGATTTCCCGCACACAATTTACGTGTTTGACATTTTTTGCTGATTTTATTCATACACTCATTAGATTAAATTCGAAGGTCAAAATCCGATGAAATTTCCATTTATTTTTCGACTAATTTTTTGCAAATACTCTCTATTCAGTCTTATTATACAATTTTATCTGTATTTGTTCTAATCGATCTAGGTTATGATTGATTCTATTTTCTGCTATAAGTGCCAAATGTTGTTAGCTCGTTTCAAGCAGCATATCACTTTCGCGAAACAGATTAATTATGAGCAAAGTCATCTCACTTCGAGTGCATGTAGTTTCTGCTTATTTGATGAGGAAGGAGGTCTACAAAACTTTGCAGATGCATACGGATCGGTGGTGTATTTATCAACATTCGTGGAACAGATTTATGGTGTTAATGTAAGTATATGCCATGGATGTTGAATGTCATTCAATGCTACTTAGCTGTAGACATCTCTCTCCGGCTATACGGCAAACAACAGAACCAACACTGAACATGAAAATGACATGTTCAATTGTGTTTGTTTCGTTAGTTTCAACTGTGCCGCTTCGAGAGGTCACTTATGTCCAGAGACTTATGTAAGATTACATTCATTTGTCGCTTTATTTCGTTTTCAGCTCTCGACGGGTGCCAATATTTGCCAACGATGTTATCCCAGCCTAGAGAAATTTTATGAACATTGGTCTTTGTATTCTCCGCGCAGTAATGCTCTTGCTCAACAGGTGCATAACTTTGCCTTGATGAAGATATGAATAAATCAATTAAATTAACTAAATATTTTGCTCAGTTTGCTCAA